AATTAGAAAACATAATAAAAATTCAAATCATAAATATCTAATTTCTATGTACCTGACTGAAAGTTAAACCAGCCACACCTCCCAGGTATATGTAAACCACACCCATTTCTCCGTTAGCATAAGGGGCGGAGACTGCAAGGTCTTCAAAGCCGTCTCTGTTGATATCGCCAAGAGACTCGACTGAGTACCCAAAGCTACCTGGCTCTTGAGGAGCTGGAGACTCAATGACTGTCGTATTTTTAATCTGGAGGAGAAATATTAATGTTTATTTTATTTATTGTGAACTGACAGGGCTGCTGTGGTCCCCACTGTGGAGGTATAGGGTAATCCTTCCTCTGTTTCTATTACAGAATGGACAACCAGCCACTAAACTATGGTAGCCATTAGCCTTTAAATCTAACAGAGCAAAATCATAACCAAAATAACCATCAGCCTAAAGAAGAGAGAGAAAGAAAGAGAGAGAGAGAGAGAGAAAAGCATATAGAAGGATAAAGATATTTTCTACCTCAGTTCCTTCAAATACCCAAGACTCCTGTAGAATGTTATTATCTGGAAATAACGCTCTGATCTGTTGAAAATAATATTCACAAATATACATAAAAATATTAATTTTTAATGTATAAAATTAAGCTCACAATACCTGCCCTTTGTGGTTGTTAGCTCTTGGAGCACTTGAGAATATCTCAGTAACGTCAGTGCTTATATCAACAAAAAAATGTCCCCGCTCCAAGTGATAGCCTATGAAAATTATACACAAGTATATATACATGAAAGTTTTTTGTTTTTTTTTTGAGTAAAACACTACCTCTAAGTTCATCAATCGGTGGATTATTGTTGACACTAGTTTGCAATTTTGTCTGCTTATTAGCTGTATCAATAGAAAACACTTTGCCAAAAAAAGGATCTATAAATTGGAACAAATGAAAATAATATTAATAGTCAAAAATGCAATGTTTTTTACTTGAGCCTCCACTCCAAACAGATCCTATTGCTAACAACTCTGAACTGCTCGTCTAATAATAATAAGAACAACAACAACAATAATAATAATAATAATAATAATAATGATAGTGACATTATTCAATGCACATACACTGCTTTCATTGAAAAATTGAGCATCAACTCCAGCCAGCGAAAAGCCAGGCTCATCCACTACGATAAAATAAATAAACGTAAACAAACAATGTGTGAAAAGTAAATACTACAGCATTTTTGGCAAGGATGTATATTCAACTCGAAACATATTTGATTGTAGTACTACTACTACTAACAACTAACATGGAGATATCTGATTTGGTGTAGTAGCTGCTTCAATGTCATTAGGAAAGAGAGCACAGCGACCATTAGTGGAAGATCTTAAATAAGGTCCGCTAAATGTAGACCCAGATATAAACAATGGGGCACAGGCCTGGGGTCATAATAAAGGTAAAGGTTATAAAGGATAAACTTACAGTGACATTATGATCAGAAGTCTTGACGGTAAACCCGAGCAACTGGTCTTCAAATGAAGAGATATCAAAGCTACTGATATCAGTAAATGGGTTATAAATGCTATCTGAGAGAAGAGAGTGATGTTGTACTATATTAGTCCAGTAAATATTGCTCACTGTTTTTAAGATTAAACTTGTTAATCCTTTGGCATAGAGAACCATTAATGATGGGACATTGGTAGACTCCGCCCTCTCTCCTTCCCTCATACAAAGCCTTGGGAGCACCTACAAGTAACCTAAAACAATAAATTAAAAAAAATTAACCAATTAAAATAATGCAATATTAGCTAATGAAGTGGGTAATGATTGGCAAGGAGGCAAGTAGGCACAAAAAATAATCTACAAACAACAATATAATGTGTATCTGTTGTACTTTTGGTTGTACATAATGCAAACATGCATATAATAGTAGACAATGTAATAAATCATTACTACTCTCCCTGTAGATGGATAACATGGATTTATATGAGTAAACAGGCAGCATTGTAACAATGTACCACCTACATTGCACAGACCATTAGTCAATGCACACACCCAATTAGTTAGTAATTGACTCCAAGAGAAACAGAGATTAAGGAGAGAGAGAGGAGGAGGAGGTGGGAAAGGAATGACAGATAATGTAGCACTCAATGGTAAACAAGAGTTGGACATGATAAAGAATAAAGGTCAGACAGCCTTACACAAAAAAATGAGCTGCTAACATTATTATTGAATAGCAAGTGTGAACCAGGAACAAAGAATGTCAAGTGGATTGAACAAAGTGTTATGAGAGAGAGAGAGAGGAAGCAAAAGGGAAGAGAAAGAGAGAGAAATATAGGAAAAGTGGGAGAGTACAAATTATGAACCACTCATACTGTAAAATATGCAACTCCTGTACTCTTACAAAAGGACATTTATAACCTTTACAAGAATGACCACAAGTATTTTAAGCATTCATGTCAGTATACAGCTTCAAAGAGGCTCGTATTATGTATTGGACAAACAATGTCATTCTATAAACTGCTAAATTAGATACTTATCAATAGATGCCAAACAAAAAAAGGGAAATATATGTATGAAAGGCTACAGTGTGGAATTTAATTGCAATATTAAAGTGTCCAAATTAATAACAAACAGTTCGTTACATTGGGCTGCATAATTTTAGTGCATGAATTAAAAATTATGTAGCTAAAAGTACACTAGATCTAATAAACAATAATAGAGTACCATTATTATAAAAATACAAGTTGTTAATTAATAAGTAGACTCTAAATGAAATTTTAAAAACATTTTACACTCATTATACAAGCTACACTAGTAATATCTATGGCCACACTGATGTCTATGGTGTACTCACGAGTGTGCTCCGCCAGTTGTGCGATGCTGCGCCACAGAAAATCCAAACAATTCCTCGCCGCCGCCGCTAGAAAATACAAGAGTGGGAGAGGACGGATCCAAGTTGAATCCACTGACTCCAGTAAGGAGGATAAGAGAAGGAAAGAAGCAAAGCAAAAAAAGATACATGATGCCTGTCTGTGTAGTAAACACAGCTATTCCAGATCAGACTGTAGAGTAGGTGCGGCTAGAGATCAGGCTACTTAATAGGCTAATCTATGCGGAAAATCCGGAAATTAAAATCTAAATTGTGGGTTAATTTAAGCCGCTTCAAGCAAGAAAACTCTCAGGCTTACATTAAATAAATTAAAAAAATATCTGTTGTAGGATTTAAATGAAAATTATAACAATAATTATTGTACAAAAATTATTACCAATGAGATCATATGAAAGGTATTGTACTTGCATTACTTCTTATACATTATTATTTAATAGTTGTTTTTTTTGTTATAAATCTCGTTTAGAAAAAAGCTCTTTCTTTTGTCTGTCAGAAAACCTTGCTAGTGCAGCAATGACCCTCACCAACTGCTGCCTCTGTCTACCCATCATGTACTCAAAAAGAACATTCCGGAAAAACTGAGAGAGAGAGAGAGAGAGGGGGGCTACTAAATGACATAATAATAATGTCTAAACTTACATCAAATTCCGGTCCACGCGGTTCAGACTCCAGTTTCACATCTTTTGAAGGAGTATCGGGAAAATTGGAGGGGAGAGATCTCAATGGAGTTGTAGGCGTGGTCAATGGTGACGTGGGAGATGAAAATAAGGACACAGGCGTACTTGCCAGTGGACGACCCTAAAATATAAAGTGATGCAATTAAAGTTTAATCGTTACTGTAACGACAAGGAATTTAAATTTGATTTAATAATGCATGTACTAATAAAAACACCTCATATTTGATTAATTTAGCAGCTAGTGTTTCCTTTTCTGCTTCGCTGGCCTTCAGAGCCTGTTTGTAATCCTTTACGATTCCCTCCAACCTAACAACAATAAAATAATAACGTAAGCCTGAGTGAGCAAGCACCACTCAGACAACACTCTTCTACCCTCAATTTTTATTACATTTTCTAATAGCTTATGCTGCCTAGAGAGTTTGAGCTGATTCCGACTTAAATTTTTCAAGTTATGGCCATTTTAAAAAACGAGCCAGAATCTGAAAAATACCCTGTACTATAGCCCATGGTTTTTTCAAAAAAATGGCTCCAAAATCACTCCCAATTTTTATTACATTTTTTGATACATATTGATGTCCTTAAGCTATGTAGAAATTTTGGGCTGATTCAGACTTAAATTTTTCGAGTTGTGACCATTTTAAAGAACAGACCAATTTCTGAAAAATATCCTGTACTATAGCCCATGGTTTTTTCCAAAAAATGGCTCCGAAATCACCCCCAATTTTTATTACATTTTTTGATACATATTGATGTCCTTAAGCTATATAGAAAGTTTGAGCTGATTCCGACTTAAATTATTAAAGTTATGGCCATTTTAAAAAATTGGCTAATTTCCCTGTACTATTTATAGCCCATGGTTTTTTCCAAAAAATGGCTCCAAGATTACCCCCAATTTTTATTACATTTTTTGATACATATTGATGTCCTTAAGCTATGTAGAAAGTTTGGGCTGATTCCGATTTAAATTTTTCAAGTTATGGCTATTTTAAAAAACGAGCCAAAATCTGAAAAATACCCTGTACTATTATAGCCCATGGTTTTTTCAAAAAAATGGCTCCAAAATCACTCCCAATTTTTATTACATTTTTTGATACATATTGATGTCCTTAAGCTATGTAGAAATTTTGGGCTGATTCAGACTTAAATTTTTTCGAGTTATGACCATTTTAAAGAACAGACCAATTTCTGAAAAATACCCTGTACTATAGCCCATGGTTTTTTCCAAAAAATGGCTCCAAAATCACCCCCAATTTTTATTACATTTTTGATACATATTGATGTCCTTAAGCTATATAGAAAGTTTGAGCTGATTCCGACTTAAATTATTAAAGTTATGGCCATTTTAAAAAATCGGCTAATTTCTGAAAAATACCCTGGTTTTTTTCCAAAAAATGGCTCCAAAATCACCCCCAATTTTTATTATATTTTTTGATACATATTGATGTCCCTAAGCTATGTAGAAAGTTTGGGCTGATTCCGACTTAAATTTTTCAAGTTATGGCCATTTTAAAAAACGAGCCAGAATCTGAAAAATACCCTGTACTATAGCCCATGTTTTTTTTCCAAAAAATGGCTCTGAAATCACCCTCAATTTTTATTACATTTTCTGATATATATTGATGTCCTTATGCTATGTAGAAAGTTAGCGCTGATTCTGACATAAATTTTTCAAGTTACAGCCATTTTAAAAAATGAGCAAATTTCTGAAAAATACCCTGTACTATATATAGCCCATGGTTTTTTTTTTTAATGGCTCCGAAATCACCCCCAATTTTTATTAAATTTTTTGATACATATTGATGTCCTTAAGCTATGTAGAAAGTTTGAGTTGTTTCCAACATATAATTTTTGAGTTATGATCAATTTTTAAAATGAACCAATTAAAAAAGAGCAAAGACTATATAGCCCATGGTTTTTAAAAATTGGCTCTGAAATCACTCTCATAGTCTTTAGCAAAATTTATTAAAAATAAAATCTTACTTTTTCGAATGCATATAGGGACTCTTATCTAATTTTAGAATAACTTTAAAAATTCAATAATATTCATTTGTAAATCAAAGCTGCAATATGTACCGCAATATGCAGCATTGTCTGAGGCATAATTACTCATAAGTCCTCACCTTGTCATTGATGACTGACTTTCATTCAGTTGATCAATCTGCTCTTCTAAATTATGTATCTTATCCAAATATTCCAACTCCTTATCTCCTCCACTACCTCCTCCTCCTCCTTTCACTCTCTCTCCTGTCTCTCTTATTGTATTATCAGGGGTTAGCTGACTCAATTGCGTTTCTAATGTCAATACTTTCTTCTCTTCTTTCATCAGCCTCTCTCTAGCAGAATGAGCTTCAGTTTTAGCCACTTCGAGCGATTGCTTCAAATCAGCAATCTCAATGAGATACCACTCCTCCTTCTCACCCTCAGATCCAGTTTGAAGACTCATCTGTTGCCTTCTCTTCAAAGACTCCATTTCTGTCTTGTGTTTCACCACAGCAGCCTCAAGCTCCTCCTTGCATTGCTTCTTTACAGCGGATACCTCTTGCTTCAGTTTCAACTGGTAGCTAGAGACAAGACCCTCCAATTCAATGACCTTATGCTCGCTTGCCTCTCTCTCCCTATTCCCCTCTTCTTCCATTATTTGCAGTCTTTGTCTCAGTTCCTCGCAGTCAGTTGTTAGTTCTAATACCTGTGTCTCCATATTTGATTCTGCCGATGAACGAGAAAGGTTCTTCACCTCAAGCTCTTGCGTGAGTCTCTGGTGCTCTTTGTTTGCTTTGGTGAGGATCTCTTCCATCTTCTCCTGCCATTCCTTATCAGCTTGTACCAGTTTACGCTCGCTTTGTCTGAGTTTCTTCTCAAGGCCTTTGATCTCGGCCAGCTTCTCTTCCAATCTCTCACTTGCTTCTTTCTCCGATTGGCTCCTTCTATTTTCGCTGTCACTTAGCTCTCTTTGAAGATCGTCTCTCTCATTTCTAATGGCTGCCAGTTTTAGGGCGAGCTGCTCATTCCCTTCCTTGGACTCTGTTTCTTTTACGTGTAGTACTCTCTCTTTCTCTTCCAGTGATTTCTTTAATCCCGTGAGCTCTTTCTCCATCTCTTCATTACTAGAGGAGAGTTCAGAGTACTCTTGGGATTTCTCAAACAACTCGCTCTCTTTCTCTCTCAAAGACGCCTCCAATTGTACGAATCTCTCGCTGTGAGTCTTCTCCAGCTGCTCTAGTTGTGACTGAAGAGAACTCACCTTTCCAGAGAGCCCCTGTCCCCTCTCCTCCAGGCTCTCATTCTTTCTCTTCAGGTCTTCAAAGGACGCGGTCATTGACTCCAACTTCTTTTCTTTCTCAAGTAGCTGCCTCTTAAGTTCTGACTCCGTCTTCTCAAACTGAGCTGTCAGTTGCTTCTTTATGGTCCCTAGCTTGCCCTCAGCTTTCTTCTTTATCTCTTGTCTTGCTGCCTCTACTTGTTTCTCTACTGATGAAGAAGACTCAGTCTGAGCCTTTGATGCTTCTTCTTGGGCTTTATGAGCTTCCTGTTGTAATTTTACAACCAGTGCTTGCTTCTCTGCCAGAGTCTCTCTTACTCCTTGTATCTCTTTGTCTTTAATTTGATTTTGGCTGGTCATAGATTCGTTTAGATCTTTCAAGGAGCCTGAGAGAGCTTCATTCTCAGATTTCAGTGTCATTATTTCTTTGCTCAGTCTCTCCCGATCTTGTTCAATATTTCTGATTGTTTCCTTCAACTGTTTAACTGCGAGAGAGTTGCTCTGTCTCTCACCCTCCCTCTCTTCTTTCCATGATGCTTCTGCCTTCTGAAGGTTCTCTTTAGCTACTCTCTCATTGCTCTCTTTAGCACTAGCTCTCTCTTCCTCTATCAATGTCTTTATTTCTGCCTCGTGCTTTGATTTTAATTCAGTCACAACTTTGTTTCTTTCTTCCTTTGCACTAGCAAGGGCAGCAGTTTTTTCTTTTTCTGCCAGTCTTAAGGCTTCCTCTTTCACCCTTTCCATCTCCCTTGCCTTTTCTTCTAATATTCTTTTCTTCTCTTCTCTCTCATTAGCAAGAGATGAGTTCAGCTCCTCTATCCTCTTGTTCAAATCCCCCACCATTGTTTCGTGTTTCGTCTTAAGCTGTTGGAACTTTTCGTTGAATTTCTTTTTTGCAGTTTCCCCTTGTTTCACAGTCTGCTTTGCATCTGATAACTGTATCTGCAGTGACTCTATTTCTTGCCTGTGAGACTCTTGAGTAACTCTTGCCGACTCCTCAAAATGGGTCTGAGTCTCTTTAAGATTTAACTCCGCCTCTTTTAGACGAGATGTCATTTCCTTTAGCTGCGACTGAGTTTCCTTAAATTGAGTCTCAATCTCCCCCAACTGCTGCAAGAGCTCTTTCTCTCTCTCACTCGAGGCCCCACTCATTATTTCTAGCTGCTTACGCAGTTGAAGTATCTCTTGCCTGGCAATCTCTTCTTTCTCCTTTGCACCACCAAGCGCTTGCTCTAGCTTTGTATTTTGACCTTTCACCTCTTGAATATTTTTCTTGAGTGCCTGCGCTTTGCTTGCAGTCTCTTTTAATTTATTTTTAGTTTGCACATTGTCCTCCTTGAGCCTATTCTCTAGTTCTGTCAGAGATGCAGAGTGAGAGCTTTTAATTTCTTCTACTTCTTTAGCATGAGCTTCAGTCATATTGGCCCTCTCTTCATTAAAACTGGTCGTCAGTTCATTCTTTAGCGAAAGAACAGACCTCTCGTGTTCCTGAGTCATTTTACTCTTCAATGCATTCATAGCTTTATCGTGATCTTCCTTTAACTGAGTCTCCAGTGACAATAGCTTCTGTTCTGAGCTATCACTGCTGTCTCTAAGACTGGTCCTCAGAACCTTTAGCTCGTTCTCCTTATTCTCAGCCTCTTCCTTGAGTTGTGCTAATCCAAGCTCATGCGTCTCTTTCATCTCTTCAATCTCCTTCCTGGCAGAGTCTAGCTCAGCCCCTTTGGCTCTTAGTTCGCTAGCAGAGGCTTCCAAAGCAACAGCATGTTTTTCTTGAAGAACTTCAAGCTCATTTCTAATTGATTGCAATTCTGTCGTCTTGTTTTTAATCTCTTCATTAGCCGTTAACAATTTCTCCTTGAGTTGGGTGAGCTCTTTCTTTGTCGATAGCAACTCATTTACTTTCCCTTTCATTTCTCCTGTGACTTGCCCCAGAGCTACACTCTGTCTCTCTCTCATCTCTTTGATCTCTTTATTTGCTTCATCCAGTTTCAATGCAAACTCTGAGAGCTCTTCTTTATGGGTAGCTAATAAATTCTGGATTGAGGCTTCGTGTTCATTTTGTTTTTCTTCAAGTACCTGGTGTAGCTGACTAGTGGAGGCTGTTTGAAGCTGCTCTATCTCTTTTCTGTGTTGTTCTTTTAGCTGTGATATCGTCTCATCTTGCTGACTAGTAGAGGCTGTTTGAAGCTGCTCTATCTCTTTTCTGTGCTGTTCTTTTAGTTGTGATATTGTCTCATCTTGCTGACTAGTGGAGGCTGTTTGAAGCTGCTCTATCTCTTTTCTGTGTTGCTCTTTTAGCTGTGATATTGTCTCATCTTGCTGAGCAGTGGAGGCTGTTTGAAGCTGCTCTATCTCTTTTCTGTGTTGCTCTTTTAGCTGTGATATCGTCTCATCTTGCTGAGCAGTGGAGGCTGTTTGAAGTTGTTCTATCTCTTTTCTGTGTTGCTCTTTTAGCTGTGATATCGTCTCATCTTGCTGACTAGTGGAGGCTGTTTGAAGCTGTTCTATCTCTTTTCTGTGTTGCTCTTTTAGCTGTGATATCATCTCATCTTGCTGACTAGTAGAGGCTGTTTGAAGCTGCTCTAAGTCCTTCTTGTGTTGCTCTTTTAGTTTCAAAATGGTTTCGCTTTGTTGATGAGCTGCAGTTTGGAGTTGTTCTTTTTCCTTCTTATGCTCTTCCTTCATTTTCTCTAGCTCCATGTTGTGTTGGCTGGTCAGAGTAGCCAGTTCATCTTTATGAGACTGGGTAGTGGACTCAAATTCCCCTTTAGCATCTTCATCATATTTCATTTTAAGTTCTTTAATACTTTCTTTGTGTTTATTTTCAAGGTCTCTTGCTTCACTCTTCAGCTCAGCCATCTTCTCTTCCAATGTTTTAACGTTCTCTTGTAGTGAGAGTATCATGATTTCCTTTTCCTCGAGTCCAGATCTCAAAGACTCGACTGTTCTAGCTAAACCTTCATTCTTGGATACAAGAGCATCGGTCATAGACTTCTGAGATGCCTCGTCTTCCAGTCTCTTTTTCTCTAACGATTCTCTCTCGGATCTCAATTCTTCCGAGACGCTCGTAAATTCTTTTTCTTTCTCTTTAAACCTCTGAGTCATTTCTGTCAATTCGGCCGATAGTTTTTCAATGTTCTTTTCCTTTTCTATCAATTCCGTTTCCTTCGCAGAGACAGACGTCATGAACTCTTGCAGTGTCACTTGTAGCTGTGATGCTTCGGCTTCTTTCTGAGACAACAAGTTTTTGAGGTCTTTAGTTTGGTCAGTGTTAGTTCTGATGGCATCTTTCAACAGCTCGTTCTGCTCTTTAAGCTCTTCAATCTCTTCCTGAGACTTTCTATATGACTCCGCCTTTTCTTCGTGCTCTTTCTGAAAAGCGGAGGCCATCTTGTTTATCTCATTTTCTTTTTCTGCTAACTGCTCAGACTGACGCTGTATGGTTTCTTGAAGGCTTTGCCTCTCGAGTTTGAAAGATTCATCGACTGCTTTTGTAGTACTAGCATCATCTTCAGGAGAATCAGCCTAAAATTTAAAAAAAAACAATATTGTTAACTAATGGAAATTATTATTGTTATAAACAAATTAATAATTTATTAATTTTAATATAAAAACCTAAAACTAATAATAAGAGTGTTTTGATTTGTACGTATAATAGAATTAAACACTCAATGAATGTTGTGGACTAAAAGGTCAAACCACAGTAAAGATAAAATTGAATTAAAAAATACAATATAAACCATATTTGAAAAAAACAGACAATCAATAAACGTGCCAAGCGTAAAAAGGGGTAGTGCTGTGACTAAGCAAGATAATAATGGATAAGTGCCAAAGCTATGCTACAGTCTATAGTAAATAGCTGCTTTAATAAAGTACAGAATGAGTGCATGTGATTTGGCAAAGCACTGAAGTATAATGAAAGTTTAATAAAATGACAGACTATACAACACCATAACCAGATGTTAGGAAATAGTAAAAGGAACATGATGGAAGGTGTCAATATAATGAAAGGGGATTTTTCTAAAGCTTATTATTATTATTATTAATATTATTGAGGTACTCATAGCTCAAATTCGTTGGATTTAACTGGAGCAACTGCTTCAAAAACAAAAACAATCATATGTATCAGAAATTTGTAAAAAGTCCAATTTAAATTTTTGTTTTTAATGATTATAGATCAAAAATTATTATTTGAAAACAGCCCAGACTTTCTATATGGCATAAGGACATCAATATGCATCAGAAAATGTAATAAAAATTGGGGATGATTTAAGAGCCATTAAAAAAAAAAAAACCACGGGCTATAGTACAGGGTATTTTTCAGAAAATGGCCAGTTTTTTAAAATGGCCATAACTTGAAAAATTTAAGTCGGAATCAGCTCAAACTTTCTACACAGTATAAGGACATCAATATGTATCAGAAAATGTAATAAAAATTGAGGGTGATTCTGGAGCCATTTTTTAGAAAAAACCATGGGCTATAGTACAGGGTACTTTTCAGAAAATGGCCAGTTTTTTAAATGGCCATAACTTGAAAAATTTAAGTCGGAATCAGCTTAAACTTTCTACATAGCATAAGGACATCAATATGCATCAGAAAATGTAATGAAAATTGAGGGTGATTTTGGAGCCATTTTTTGGGAAAAACCATGGGCTATAGTACAGGGTACTTTTCCGAATTTGGCTCATTTTTTAAAATGGCCATAACTCGAAAAATTTAAGTTAGAATCAGCTTAAACTTTCTACATAGCATAAGGATATCAATATGTATCAGAAAATGTAATAAAAATCGAGGGTGATTCTGGAGCCATTTTTTAGAAAAAACCATGGGCTATAGTACAGGGTACTTTTCCGAATTTGGCTCATTTTTTAAAATGGCCATAACTTGAAAAATTTAAGTCGGAATCAGCTCAAACTTTCTACATAGCATAAGGACATCAATATGCATCAGAAAATGTAATGAAAATTGAGGGTGATTTTGGAGCCATTTTTTGGAAAAAACCACGGGCTATAGTACAGGGTACTTTTCCGAATTTGGCTCATTTTTTAAAATGGCCATAACTCAAAAAATTTAAGTTGAAATCAGCTTAAACTTTCTACATAGCATAAGGACATCAATATGTATCAGAAAATGTAATAAAAATTGAGGGTGATTTTGGAGCCATATTTACGAAAAAACCATGGATCAAAGCCTAAAACTTTATACATGCAAATGACAATGAACTTAATTGAAATTGCATGCCATTAAAAAAATAATCCATTTTCTCCCTTAACTTAACATCTAAAACTTGGCTGCAAAAAAATAAACAATGATGACCTTTACTCTTTCTGTCTACTAACCTAGACAACACAGACTGATGCTGACTAGTAAAGATGCTATTTTAGGCACAAATTAAAAATGACATCATTATAACATAGTGCAAGGCAAGCAACATGTCCACAGACACAAGCAATAGGCAGTGATCCTATTCAGCAATATCTATATTTAGAATAGCAAGAGATTACGTCATCATGCTTTTAAAAATAGCCAGAAAGATAAGTAGACTCTATAGACAATAAATAGCATTGGAAAGAAGATCAGAAATCCTTTTTAAAATTGTGTATATATTTTCAAAATTACAATCATCAATATAGCAATACTAACAAGGTTAACGAGGCATGATAGCTAAACCAATTAATACTTGTACTGCAATTTCAATTTAAACCACAAATTCGATTATCACTGGGTACTCAACTTTAAAATAAATGAACAACAAAAACATTACACAAGACATATATGTACATCAAGAAACAATAATAACGAAGGAATAATCACACGCATAGACACAATAATTGGAGGAAGCATGCGAATATGACACCACAATTAGATGTTTTTCTAAAGGGTACATGTTCACAGGATGTCAGCTTTCTTTTGGAGAGCAAGAACTAGTACACAGCATTGATGGTGCATATACATAAAAATGTACACTAGCTGTGACTTTGAAAAACAATGAAATCATTTTACATGTACTTACATGTATATCCGTACGAAAAACAATGAACTAATTTTACACATACATACTCCATACAAGAAGAGAAAAATACAAGCATTCACATACACACACACACACACACACACACACTTAGTATATACATACACACATACATGTACTTACATTATATACATACATACTGTTATTATTATTACTACACTGGCATTAAGTGGCAGTACATGTCAGTAAGTAAATGAGCCAATGGACACACAGTGAGGGAGGGAGAGATATTGTATACAAAAATTGACAACAGAGCAGGACGAGCATGAGCATGTACATATAAGGCAATAGACACTAAAAGTCAAAAAATAGAAATTAAAAGAAGCTGTCCTAAACACATTCAATACATTAGTAAGAGATACAGTCAGTGTTTATTCAGATACAACCATACACTCAGTGAAGGAAGTTCCATTGAACCAAAGACGCAAACACAAACATGCACTGCATACATGCAAACATGTACATGTACATGTGTATATGATTGATATAGCAACAGGTTTATGCAGCTAGCTATGAGCATGCATGACATAGAGTAAATGAGGAATCCTGAGTGAATGAGTATGAGAATTTACAGATACACCCATAGATAAATGAATATGGTAGTAATAGATATACAAGTACATCTACATGTACACAACTACACATGTACATTGTAGATGTAGACGAATAACAATGAGTGTGTGTGTGTGTGTGTGTATGGGTAGAGCTATATATGTACATTGTGGATGATTACGGTAATAAGTGCAATTGTAAGTACACGATAATTAAAGAATAATCAGCAAGTATAGGCCAAACAACGACGTACTCCACTTGTAAGATAATAAACTCACTTTTCATTATAGAGAAATAAAATTTTAAAAATACATTTAAAGACTGATATCATTAAAACTTCTAGCCCAGAAATGACAAATGCCCTTAGATCAGAGAATTTAATTATATTATAACAAGAATTGTACAATTCAGAGAATATTACCATAATAACAAATTAATGGAATATCAGTGAGTCTGTGTACTGTAAAGCATAATGTGTACAATGTCCATTATGGATTCACTTAATCACATAAAATACTAGACATGCAGACAGGGTATAACAATAATAATGGGCCCACTAGTCTCCAATGCCTGTCAGCTATTTTAAATCAAGCAGACTAACAACTAGATTAGCCTCATAAACAGTGTCCCACACTGCAGCACTAAAAGTATTCCATACAGTCTACATGAACCAATATGGGCTCACCCCCGAATACATGTACATGTAGTACATGTACATGTACATTGTATGATGTGATGCAGAGTAAGCATGTGAGCAATTAGTTATGCTAATAGTGTCTCAGAGTCTCCAGTAGTACAAGTATGGCCTCAACTTGTGACTCCTCATTAGCTAATGATTCACAGGCAAAGCTTTAAAAATACTCACACACAATCAGCGGATGCAGCCAATGCTATTGATAATGAGTGGATATGGGCTCTCCCTGTCTATCATTATTATCATTCAGGGAATACACTTCAATAGTCTACAATTACAAAAGACACTTAAGACTCATTAGAGTAACCAAAAGGTCACGGGATTGAAAGGACCAGAGCCCAAGAGTGGGAAGAGAGAGGGAAAGTGGTCTGAAGGTTTTAAGGTTTCAAGGCCACTTCAAAAAGGCCCCTGCATCAGTGTCTGTCCCCATGGCAACCTGAAAGGGTAGAACTAAGAGAAGGAATGCTCTGACTCAAAGCTGATAATAAAGCCCATACAAATGACTGATAGTGACACAGTGTGTGTGTGTGTTATTCTATAGGAGACTTGGTAAGAGAGGACCAGCTGTCAATTGAACCAATTAGGAACATAACTTGATTAGTATAGGACATCGATAAAGAGATACGTTTGAGAATGATTTAAAAATACTCAGTACTCATGCATGTACATGTACCTGTATATACAAACTCTCACCACACACAGACCCTAATAAATAATAATATTTGTACATGTACATGTACATGTATAGTTCTACACATCACGACATTTATAATCAATTTAAACCACACACAGTTTTAATTATTGATACGAGGATCGACAAGTTCTTTCTCATTAGTGATACGTATAAAATTAAAGGAAGGGAAGACACCCAGACAGACACACACACACACAAAACAAGAGCCACAAAATGTGATCAGTATAGAGTTCTACAGGTAAAGGACACACACAATTAAACCATGTACATGTACTATACATGTAGTATACATGCACACACATCAATGCATGGAGATACAGTACAGGTCAGTACAATCTATTAATGTACATGTGTATTTAATGTACATGTGTATATATAGAAAGCATAAAAAACAAAGTATCACATGTACTGTGTGTCATCATGCATGCACAGACATACATGCACTAACATCTTGTGTGTGTTTTTATGACTGAAGGTTCATTCATTTACAATAACATAAGTCACATGTACACGGATGTGCATGCATGTACATACATGCAATCACAATAATAATAATAATAATAATAATAATAATAATAAATATATTTCTTACATGTACCTCTCTCACTCTATCTATTTTGCCCATTAAAGTGGAGCTATCGGTACACAAGGGAGAGTCAAGGAATACCGATGAGACAAGCAATCATTGACACATAGCAATAACAAAAGACACAGTGTTATCATGCAACAGTTACTGAAAGATAAGCACAAGATTAACTTGAGAAGGAAAGAGAGAGAGAGAGAGAGAGAGAGAGAGAGAGAGAGAGAGAGAGAGAGAGAGAGAGAGAGAGAGAGAGAGAGAGAGAGAGAGAGAGAGAGAGAGAGAGAGAGAGAGAGAGAGAGAGAGAGAGAGAGAGAGAGAGAGAGAGAGAGAGAGAGAGAGAGAGAGAGAGAGAGAGAGAGAGAGAGAGATACAAAGTGAGAATGAGTCTATAATTTAGAATTAATTATATGACAGCTGCAGATTATTTACATTCAAACACAAATTTACGCCAAAAAAGAGTGCGATCATCACCGTTGGGACAGCAAAAGAGGCGGTGATAGAGATATCATTAACAGACTCATAATAACCATAATAACATAATAATAATAATAATGATAATAATGATAATGATGATGACGGTAATTACAGACATAGGGACACTATGACAGACAGTTAATGTCAGTCAGTCTTGTACTGTCTATACTCTCAGACAGCGTGAGACAATTGTCGTGAGAGCCAATAAACTCACTCAATTATTAGCTAGGAAAGCCCAGCAGCCATCCAGGAGCACATAAAAGCCAATGGCCTAGCAACAGTAACGAGATTAGGATCCTATGGGGTCTAAAAGACTTCTATGGTCATGCATGAAACTTAATATTCCTATAGTATCAAAGTTGAAGTCCTTATGAGTCGGGTCATGCGTGTAGAGTACAGTATGATGTTGTGGGTTTTAAAGTGTCAGCCATGAAACGTAATACTGATAGTAATAGAGCTAAGTGTGTGAGAGCCAATTAAGCAATAATAGGTCTCATTATTAAGTTATGTCTAAACAGTGTCGTGGTACCAAGGCTCTGAATCACAACCAGCTTCATGGCTGAAATAGGACACTCTTTAAGATAGGAGTGGAGACTCCCTAAGGCTAAATAACAAATACACAAAACCAATGGAAAGTTTATTACTTGTTACTAACAAACAAGGCAATAGCCCGAAGGACCTCTATCGTACACGTACATGTGACACTCTTTAAGAAAGGAGTGGAGACTCCCTAAGGCTAAATAACAAATACACAAAACCAATGGAAAGTTTATTACTTGTTACTAACAAACAAGGCAATAGCCTGAAGGACCTCTAGACATATGATATTACAAATTTATTATCAGCACTGCATACAGCACCATGTCACTAGTATGTGCTGGGAAATCCTACATGCTGTCAAGTAAATGCAAAGTGTAAACTGATATACTGGAAAGGTAATGAAGCTAAAGAGTGTCACTAACAATCAGTGATGTTATGGTCTAAGAGCTACCGGCATCACGCAACAGCAAAAACAACACGACCACTACTGGTGATAAGTAATAGGGTTAAGGGGACGGAAAATACCTCGGGCTACAAAACAAATTTAAACAAAATTATATACATGTAGTCGGAAGGTTCACTAATGAAATCAAATCGAGTCAAAATTAATGTCAATACACTGCACATGATGAAAGCTAAGGATTGAAAGTATAATGGAAAATTAAGATAAAAAGAAGGAGACTGGGAAAGGCTTCGTAATAATAGTGAGGAGGATTCCAACTTAAATCAAATTATGCAATTACAATTTTAATTAGGACACGAGACAAAATAAAATGAATGATAAGTAGAAAAACATGTAACCGCACAATAATACTATTTACTATTCCTTCCCTTTACTACATGTGTACAGATACATGTACATGTACACATGTACACCGTCACTAGGTACATGTATAATGGACACTTAAATTAAATACATGTAGTAGTACTACTAATGATAACTCGTAATTAATGAGAGGATCCTAATGGTGTACATATAAAAACTGGAGGGTCTTTGATAACAGCTGGTATTGTCACAGGTACACAGACAGATTAAACTCTCTTAAAACATAACATGATATAACAAACCATCAGCTAATACTACATAGTTTATAGAACTAGCCTAAAACTATACCAGTTCTACACTGGTCTGATTCATGGAACTCCCATTATATCTGGGTTTTTTCTCTATGACATTACGACTGTTTAGGTATAAATGAAAAGAGCTGTAGCATTAATGGGATTTGAATTTACGTACTAAGTACATGGCATACATGTACATGTAGACACATTGAAGCTATAATTAATTACATGCATGTACATGTACATGTAATGCAAGTACATGCACATGTCATGTATTGGGACACAAGACTGGAGCATAAACACATACACATACATGTACATGTATACTGTCAGGCAGATGTCAGCAGTATGTCACATGGCTCTATGAAAGCTTTCTAAAAATCCTTTAATCTCTTGCATGTACCAATGCTTCACTTGTGATGCAAACAGCTTAGTAGAGATGAGTGTTGTTATATAAACAGGTCATGCTCCTAAAGGCAGTGAGAGACATATGTTGAAAATGATCAGGAGCTAACATCCTGGAAGTTCAAATCAACAAATGTCATATGCAACTAATTATCTACTCTTGGCAGTTTGTAAATGCAAATTAAGTGCCTGATGTATAAAGATAAGCAGCTCGGTATAAACTAAACCGGTAGTACATGTACATATCTAAGCTGATAGACAATACTTTAATTGCTGCACTTTTGAACTGTCTCGCATCTTTCCTCTCTCCCCCCTTCTCTCACCCTCTTTGCTATGTCTGTCATTCATTTTATAAATATGCTTGTCATTTCTTGCTGCATGGATCATACAGAGGCCTCCTGCTATTACTTACCAGTAAATAACACGTTCATTAAATCACCATCAGCCTAATATCATTATAATAATTATAGTCTAATTATCAAAGCATTAATGAGCAAGGCTTCATTATTAGCCCAGGGGGTATGGAGTGGATAAGTAGAGACACATACAACTGTCTGTGGTTTCACAAATTTGAAGGGAAATGGCTACTACAATACATGCATGCTACATTGCATCATTTAATACACAGATACTATTGTATTTATTTGAATCCCATGCATTGCATGAATTCTGACCTTTTCTCCATTGTCTGTTTCTTCAGTTTTCAGTTGTTGTATTTCGGCTGTCAGAGACTCTTTGTCCTTCTCTAATGCTGTGACCCTCTCTCTTGCTAGCCTGAGTCCCTCTTTGTATCGCATCAGTGTCTTCTCTTGATTGGACGACTGCAATGAAATAATAATAATAATAATAATAACATTAATAATAATAATAATTCTATTTAGTATGCCTTTTATTTATGTTTGGTCTAGCTGTGAGTTACAGTAGTTCTTTATAATAATAATAATAATAATGATGATGATGATGATGATAATAATAATCATAATAATAATAATAATAACTATAAGTCAATTTTCTGCCGCCCCCTCTCTCTCTCTCCTACATGTATTTCTGAACTTCAATAGACTTACTTTCTCTTGTAGCTCTGCTAGTTGTGCACTTAATTCAGTCACTAAAAATGCAGAAAAGAAAAACAACTCATAAAAATAATCCATAGTTTTTTATAGCATTAATCTTCACTTAACAATTAGATGCAACACTACATCCAATAATAGCTAGGCTATAACAACACACTCAATAATACTCTGCATGTACATGTACATGTACACAAGCACATGTATTACATGCTACATTAAATATGCAAGAACGTGTAATAGGCTGGTTATCATGGAGTACAAATTGTACTAGCTATCACAATCAACAAACATACGTGTATGTGTACATGTAGGTCTGTTTTTAAAAATGAGAGTAGGGGAAGAGAGAGAAAGGGGGGGAGGGAAAAGAAAGAGTGGTCCTGTTGTGTATGTTGTAGAGGGAAAGGTATGACATAATAAATGATGTGTTAATGTGTGAGATAGAATCCTCTCAAAAGTTTAGAAATCAAATTAATACAAAACCAGATAGTAGCTTTCATAGGGACACAATATGGAAACCACCACAGTACTTAGAGTGTAGTACTCAGAATAACATCATTAATCAGATTACTCATGAATATTAATGAGTACATGTATATTTTGTGACCTTTGATATGAGAAATTAAAAACATATGAACCACAGGATCAATTCTACAGGTGCACGGTACAGAGCAGCTGGATGGATCAAGAGAAGTGCTACAGGCACTGTAATCCAACCCCAACCATCATAAAGAATAATCTAATTCAATTTGCAGGTGGATCACTTTGATAAAATAACATTTATTATTTTTAGTCTCAGACAAGTTTTTGATTAGTGGCTATATAGTGGCCTCCATTATCAAAAACACTAAAATTGACTCATGTCTCTGGCATTCAATGGAATATTCCCTACATCAAGGGAGGCAGAACCGAAACAAACTATGAAATATGTTCGTGGTATTTTTTTATAAAAAGAGACAACAGCTAAAACAACAGATGGCAATGAAAGAGAATGGCACACACTTAAGGACTGAAACTTGAAAGATACCAAACTCATTACCACTGATATTTTCAATCAGTTAAATATACAGACCACATATGCATTCCTGTATACAAAGACATACAACTGAAAGTAGTATAGTTGTATCTACAGCTATAATCACATACATACATGTATGTTATAGTAGACAACCCACAACAGCATGAATCCTTTTAGTCCATATTTATATACACAGGAGCAGAGACAAATTTTTAGAGGATGTAATGTTTCTTTTTTTTTCTTTTTTACAGTAACAATATCATTATAAACTAGATAATATATTATTAAATAATGAAGTAATGGAAATAATGTTATATACATGTGTGTGTGTGTGTGTGTGATTGTGTGGCATAACTGTTTAAACCCTAAACCCTTACAAAAATTGCTCTAATTGCTATAACAAATGAGAGATTAAGTAGAGTTGGAAGACTATAGTTATAGATCCAAAGCCTGACATGAGTAGTAAGTGGACTGCCTTTAGTGTGGTAGATTATCATTATCAGTATAGTATATCCTATACTCCAGTGAAGGCAACTGATCCGTTAAATATCAAAATAACAAGAACATATTGTTTCAAAGGCTATCCAATTACTGCATCCATTGCACTATTACACACAGGCTCACAGTATAATAATGATGAACATATGTGCTTTTGCTTTATCGAGGCATACATGCATGCATATGACATATGGTGAGAGGATTGACTGACACTTAGCAACAGGGAAGGGAAGTAGTATAAGGTTTCATCTCCAGACTCTGGATCTCTTTGAGGTATCAACCAACCAACCAATAACAGGCATATGTTATTCCAGCCAATCTGACTACACCAGTGACCAAAAAACCAAACCATCAGCCCACAGAGGTTTGATACACAATAATACACAAGCACCCACAAATGGAGCCACAATACATGGAGCCAAAGTATCAAGTATTAAGAGTACACAGTGTATAGTTCAGTTTGAGTGCATGGGAAAAGGAAGGGGAGAGAGAGAGAGAGAGAGAGAGGGGCACACCTGGATTATATGTAAGCTTATAACCTTATTGCAGTTACATGTGTCATGCTGTAAAGGGAGAGAGATACAGTGTAATCAGTACTTGCACAATCTAATATATGGATTACAACAAACCTATAGATCCTTCTCATGAACACACACACACAAAGTCAGATACATTACACATACATGTACATGTACATGAGACATGTACATTGCACATACAGATACATACAGTGAAGAATCAATTACACAATCAAACAGATGGTATATGTACTATTTTATTGTGCTAAACAATTGCTTAGAGGATTATCTTATTGAAATGGGGACTATTCCCCATTCATTGATATTTGTCTAACAGTCTCCAGCTGCCAGTTATAGACAGACAGTACAGTATAAAGCTAATTAATGTAAACTGCTCGCTAAGCAGTGCAGCTGAGCAACCTTTGAATTAGCTAGTGCAAGGAAAGCAAAGAAATAATATCCAAGAATAGACAGACTAATAACTCTAAGGATTCACATACTAGTACACCTCTGGATTAGAATATATCATAGTAAACAGGAGAAAGAGAGTACACATATACATGTACATGTATGTACATACATGTATGCAAGCTCTCTCGGATGGGAGAGTTTATTAACTTACTTCTGTAGTCTATACCACACACAGGCATTCACATGTGCATGCATTATACTTATACATATTTAAATTGTATATATTATAACTATTTCTGGTGTTTTTTATTTAAAATATTCACCATAAGACCTTTATTAGAGCTAATAATCTGTATTATTAGGGGGGGGGAGTAGAAAGGAAAAGAGAGGGACACTATAGCAGCCAGATTTATAAGAGGGAGAAATTCTAAGCAAGCAATATCAACAGTCCACAGCTGCAACAATATTGCCATTAATAGTAAATTATCTCAATAATGTTTATCAATGGAACATAAAGAAACAATCACCAGATGCCATTACACTGTACATACTTGATGCAGTCCCAATGCATTACACTCCATAACACTAATGTAATGCCTTCATATATAAATATGCCTTGGATGTGACTTTGCAACCCAATGCAACTACATACAGTATACATATAAATGGATGCATATAGAGATAGGGAGAGTAAAACAAACAGAGATGTGTGTTGCTTTCTCTTATAATTGACAAATGCTGGAGAGTTTAAGGTGGGAGCCAAAAGGGATATCAAACAGACGCTAGGTGTAATACAGCTGCATGGGTGCAATAAGCAAAACTAATGATACTGTTTGCTTACCTTTGTCCTTGTCTTCTTGGAAGGATAACTGTCTCTCCTTTAATATCCGTACCTGTAAAGAAGGAAGAGAGAGAGAAAGAGAAAGAGAAAGAGAGAGAGAGAGGGGGAATTAGATGAGGAGAATAATGAAGATGTACATATTTTGTACACATTGTGTGTGTGTGTGTGTGTGTTGTGAAAGAGAGAAAGTACAGACAGAGGGAGAGAAAGAGAATTAGCACGTTGATAGATAAAAGAGAGAGAGAAATGAAGCACAATTAATCAACCCAAACAAGTCAAGCATGATCTAATATCCATATCCTCACTAGAAATGATTCACTTCCTCCAGAGACAGCCAAAGTCTAACTAATCCTAATTATACTCCTCAACCAAAAAACAACACACAGAGACACTTACAAGGCACTAAAACCCATCCGAAATACAATAAATATAATATTATTAGTAATAATGGAGGGAATGAAACCTTCTCTATTCTAAACAAAAACCCACCATGCAAACCAGGCTCGAGCCCACCACCTGCTCAGGTGTGATAAATTCCCAGAGGAAACAAGACGACTGACAGGACAATATAATCCTAATATTGTCCATGAGGTATGAAACCAAAGGAAACGAAACCACATGTAACCTTATGTTAGCGAATATTACACAAGTACAAGTACATGTAATACAATGCATGTCTACATTATAATTAGACAACATGTAATACGTACATAACATGTATATGTGTTACATGTACATGTAATCTTAGATGTACAGAGTCCATATAGTAAAATTAAATATGCAATTCCTATTCTTGCTAATTATTACTATATCGTGTAGTGACTGAGTTACGCAAAATCTGAAAATTATCGGTGACAAAATTTGTGCGGTTTAATTTGGAGTCTCTCCAAATTAAAGCCCCCTATAAGGAATGAGGGCACATACAATACACGAAAACACCATTTACATGTACATCATGCATGTACATGTACTTGCACATGTACATGTACTTGCATATGTACATGTACTTGCATATGTACATGTATATGTACTTGCACATGTAATATACCCAAGAATTGGTCGAGTACTGCTATCTCTCACTACATCAATGAACATCATTTATTTTATGTACATGTCTACTATAAACATGTACATGAAGTAATAAAGGCCATGCAGTTCAAAGAACTTGCAAGCATTAGATCAGTCTAACGTACACAAGACATAGCCAGTACATACAGTGCTATACACGTAAGATCCATACCGACAGGAGTTTATACAACAATCTGTTGGTTTATACTGGGAGGGTTAAATCATCTCACTCACACCACGACTCTCTCTCTCATCTCCAGAGGTAAACAGTTTACAATAGCAAAGAGATAGAGCTTGCGTATTCCTGAGCTTTCAATTTAAAAATAAACGATAAACACGTACATGTACGTTATTATACGCACACATGTACATGTACTGTACATGTACTGTACACATGTATAAAGGCTGATGTCAGAGCTAAAGGAGTAACAACAAACAAAAAGGGCAAAGTTGAAGACAGAGCCATTAAATGGTACATGGCTGGACTACTCATAAAAGCATTCCATGGATGCAGCTAATGTACTTGTTAATGTAACAGTAGAGGTGAGATAAGCAGGGGGAGGTAAAAGAGGTACAATAAGAATTAAAGTTCACTCCATAATGTGTACACACAACTACACAACCTCATGTTATAAGGAATGAAATTAGAGACGCAAAGTTTAAAAGCATACATTTAAAATATTTACTAAAATAACTTCAAAATCTACTGTACATGCTCATTCATACCTGAGTCTGTAGGACATTAATTTTCTCGTCTTTTTCCTCGAGTGACGAGCGAAAGGTTTCCTCCATGTGTGCCTTGGCTTGTCTATCAAGCTCTTGTGCCTGAGAGAGGGAGGGAGGAAGAGGGAAAGAGGGAGGAAGAGGGAAAGAGGGAGGAAGAGGGAGGGAGAGGGAGAGGGAGAGAGGGAGGGAGAGGGAGAAAGAAACAAGAGAGATAGAGAGAGGGGGAAACCAGGAAACGAGAGGAATAAAGATTAGTCTACATTCAAGACAAAGTATCTGCTGTACTTCTTTCATCTCGGACAGCTTCCTTTGATACTTCTTATCAATGCTACTCACGGTCGCCTAGTGACAGAGCTAATTAATCCAAAACTGTTAACAAACTTTTACCTCTTTCTCAGCCAACTGTGTTTCAAAACTCTTTTGCGCAGCAGTTAACTAGAAAGAGAGGAGAGAGAGAGAGAGAGAGGGAGAGGGAGAGGGAGAGAGAGAGAGAGGGAGAGAGAGAGAGAGAGAGAGAGAGGGGGAGAGAGAGAGAGAGAGAGAGAGAGAGAGGGAGAGAGAGAGAGAGAGAGAGAAAGAGAGAGAGAGAGAGTCAGTGAGAAAGAGTCAGTTAGACTTAACCACAAACATAGATACACAAATCAACAGTTTGTTATTCCTACTCTCTCAGTGCATTACTAGCAGTTCAATAAGGAGAGAGTGTATATACAAGACAAGAACAAATCCACCAAAAAAGACAAAAGTTAAATAATACACAACAAGTACAAATGCCTATATACAAATGCCTATATAGCGTCTTTTACTAATTTTATTCCAGTTTTCATTTCCTCCATTAGTTAGGATACAACTGCACACATACATGAGTCTTGGGCCAAAATTGAATCTTCTTAAAAATGCCTAAATTTGCGATTGGGACTAAACTTAGGCATTAATATGCGGTTTTAAAAATGATTTTTCAAAGCCAATTTTGATAAAAACCCTACATTAACTATCATAACTAATGGTCTGAGGCCTGTGAACTAAACAGTAAACAGCATGTGTACATAGCATTTGGAGCAACTTTAAAAATCCATTTATAAAATCTGAATTTGATCAAAATCAGCTCAAAGTTAATACACAACATAAGAACAAGTATTATATGTATCAGAAAAAAATTATAAAAGTGGAGGATCCTCTCCTAGCCATTTTTGATGAAGTTTTGCCAAAGTCTCTGTACTATTATAGTACAGGGTCTTTGGCCCAATTTTTTAACAACTTGACAATACAAGAACCTGCATGCATGAGCACTATGCCAAAATCCTGGTCTGAAGGTCAAAATTTGTGATCATAATCAGATCAAACGCCCTACATAGCATAAGAGAATTAATATGCATCAGATCCAGTCATTAAAGCCACATATGCATAGAATATATGGTAGAGAGTAATAAACTGGATGAAACTGGTGGGTAGTTGAAGGTTCCTGGTGGAGTTGGAGGAGTACTCCTCTCTCTCCCACCATAGGCAGGACCCACAGACCACTAAATCATTTCTTAGCCTTTGAAAAAGAGACCTAATTCAATATTAAATATATCATAATTGGTCTTTTAAAGAGCCTGCATAATAATAATTTTTGCAAACCAAAGGAAGCCACAAGGATGAGCTACAGACTACTACCAACTATAAAAAACTGCATACACTAAAGAGACAAATAAATATTAAGCAATACTTGAGGTAGCTTTGACCATAAAGAGGGAAAACATATGAGAGAGATATAAGAGTATGAATAAACTCAATTCACAACATGGCAACAACACACACACATGCTCTCTCAAAGTCAAGAAAGTGTAGGCAGCAATGCAACGAGGCATGCAATTATAATATCAAATATATCAGTATTATATTATCATCATCACCAGTATTAATATACAGAGACTCATTTTAGTCATTTCAGACATAACAGGTAATATCCATTACAACACCAGATGCAAGCAATCAGAGCTAGTCCATGGAGAGTGGATTATTTTTGACTTGGATCACGCTCTCACGCCTTTTCTAACCTCAAACACACACACAATTACATGCTGCATTGAATCAATACACAGTACCTTACATAGACAGACTGACCTTAGGTACTATTTGTACATGCTAATGTAACATTTCATGTGTTTCTAGTATAATATATATCAGTTTTGTCAGGTGATGGGTCCAGTTTCCGCTAATTAATCATTGATACTGGGATTGTACTATACAAAGTGTTATATTTATTTCGTGAAAACTGACACGTGTAAAGTTTAACAGATGCAGTAATAAACACCAAGATGCTGTAACTTATAATGCATGTTACCCGGGAACTAGAATTACCGTAAAATTGAATTTTAGTGAAAAGTACCAGAGAAAGAGAGAGGGGGGAGAGAGAGACAAAAGACAAAGAGAGAAGGGTCAAGGAGACAGAAAGTTTTGCACCCGTGGATTATTAATAAAACAGGACTGGCAGGTGATAAAGGTTGACAAATCCAAATGGGCTTCTGTTGTCAGCTACATAACACACACACACCAACAGTTCACCTTCACTCACTCACTCACAGTACACAATATCCTCCAAAGAATACCTAGAAATACTAATTAATGAACTCAATACTAACAATCAACACAATGGAGTACATGATATAAGAGTGTATTATACAGAGTCCTTACTATTGCAGTTATATGAGTGTTGTAGGTTATAGTGGTACATATCAGACCAGACCACAAAGGAAGAGAGCCTATTATTATATTATTATTAATACTAAACAAAAGGACCACCAACAATACACTGGTCACCTGAATAGGCAAAGACTAAAAGACTAAACAGGGAGAGAGATAGAGACTGACATCCACATGTAGCACCATACAGGAGGTGTAAAGAGAGGACAATAAAATACATGTACATGTACAAGTAGTCTGGTGTATCTAACAGTACTAATACACAATGGCACTACTTGTTGTTGGTGTATACATGCATGTACATGTTTTTTGTCTAGACTCAATTGATGCTAGTAAACAGAGAAGAGGTATTTTCATAATAGAAGGATAGAGATAACAAATACTGAACATGTACAGTGCTACAGTGTACATTGATGAGTGACACAATGTATATGCATACATTTTATAAAGATAACAAAAACTGCATACATCCATACACAAAACTTACATACATGCATGTACACAATATCCATGTGCATGTATTGAGAAAACATGTACATGTACTGCTTATGGATACACAGCTAAGGGTCACATGCATCATTCACTATTAACAGCTTAACAAGATTAAAACTAACATAAATTAATAATAAGCCAGATTGGACCCAGTTCTTTGTATGGTACTTAATCTCGGATTCCTCCCTTTGGCTTAGACAGTACAGTGGATCACACACTGCTAATGCCTAGCCTAACTACTAACAAGGTTAGCATAGACACACAATGAACAAGAGAGGGTATACACAGACATCACTTGAAACACATGACAATGAACTAACATATGCACGTGTACTATATCATGCAGAGTGAAAAACACTCCATAAAAGCATAGGAAGAGATGCATAATAGACCATACATTTCATATAACCATTAAAATTGAGATTTTGTACAGTGGGAGATTAGCAAAAAATGGTACTACATAGCCAGAACTAATTTTGGCATTATAAATTTGGCAGATAATTCTCAATGTGTACTATTGTAATAGTTTACTAGTTACCATTTGCAACATTTGTTGATGAAATACATGTACTACATCATTGTATGTACATGTTGTTGTTGTGTTGTGGAGAATATGCCACAGGCAAAACAGATTACTATATCCAAGTACATGTAGCCATGCGTGTACTAATTACTGGTGATAAATGGATGAAGTGTCTTTTTTCCTGTAATTGAAAAAGTCCCTGGCTCACAACATTTATTTATTTATTTATTTATTAAATATGGACTGAGAATGATAAACGGGAGGTGATGCAAAAGTGTGACAAGTTTTTTCTGGCTGAGCAAATTACAAATAAACATGATGTAATCAGATTCACATACTGTACTACGATGTATACTCCTTATCAATATGTGTACGCTAAACATAACGAAGAGAGAGAGAGAGAGATAAGGAAAAGAAAAAAGAAAAGAAAAGAAAGAGAGTGAGAGAGGGAGAGAGAGTGAGAGAGGGAGAGAGAGTGAGAGAGGGAGAGAAAAGGAGGGAGGGAGAGAGGGAGAGAGGGAGGGAGGGAGGGAGAGAGAGAGGGAGGGAGGGAGAGAGGGAGGGAGGGAGGGAGGGAGGGAGGGAGAGAGAGAGGGAGAGAGAGAGAGAGAGAGAGAGAGAGTGAGAGAGAGGGAGGAGGAGGACTGGAGGAGGAATAGCAACTGATCGCTTTGCTACAATAACATGGCGAACCGAAAAGAATATCAGTAAACTTCTTAAAATCTCAATCAAGTGCTCATTACAAACACTCAACATAAGGATTAACACAAACTGGACAAAAACAAATTTCAAGCAAAGCCATACCCGCTGATATACTAACGGTATATATAACCTTAAAATACCTTTAGCCTTTCAAATTATATATAGCCACTTAGCCCATTCAGTGCTAATAATAATAATATCACATATACATGTATATACATGTGTATTTACATGCATGTATGTACATGTAACTATATATAACCTCTCTCTCTCTCTCTCTCTCCAACAATAACATCACCTGATTTGTCATACCTTCTGGCAGAAATATTATCAACAAACAACAACAACAACATGTAATCTCCGAATGTGTCAGTCTGTACGCGTATATTCATATGTGAACAAGAGCTGGAGGAGCTGGCAGTGTATGTGTGAAACTACCTGTTGTCTCTAACTAACTGACCACATTGAGATGAGATCATTTGACACGAGCAGTTAAACCTTTGGCAAGACTTGTATTATAATAGAAGTACAATGTGCACAAGTATATTATAATGTATGCATTGACACTTCAACTACCTCTCTTTAGAGTGAGATCAGATACTAGCATAAAACAAACAAAATAGATCAAGCAAGAGTACAATTAAGAATTGTTAAGTAATAAAAAGTAATGAATATGTACACGTATATACATTCACTATATGATGCATTAGAAATACATGTAGAGATAGCAATAGGCAAAATGATCATAGAACATTATAATCACAAATAACTAAATAAGTATATATACATGTAGCATTGATGAGCATATGCTACTACATGCACAATTGCACATGTACATATACACTGGCTGGTAGAGTGGTACTCTGAGCACTTGTAATGATTGAGAAGGACTGAAATCAGAACAATGTTGAAATAACACATAAGGGTACAGGGATGAGGTCAAATGCATCAACTGTACTCCATTAACTCTGGTTCAACTAGTGTCTGCAAATGCTCAATACAATATTAATCCATGAGGCCCAGTACAGTTGGAGAGAATTCTCCATTTTTATCATTTTTTCTGATACATGTACATTGTACATGTCCTTATATTGTGTATCAACTTTGAGCTAGTTTTGATTTTAATGAATTTTAAAAGTTGCTCCAAAATCAGGTCAAAGTCCCTGTACTATTATAGTACAGTGGCTTTGGCCAAATTTCATCAAAAATGGCTAGGAGAGAATTCTCCATTTTTATAATTCTTTCTGATACATATACATGTCCTTAAGTTGTGTATCAACTTAGAGCTGATTCCAATCAAGTTTGGATTTTTTAAATAAATTTTTAACATTGCTCCAAGATGTAATTGTAGTACTTGTCAATTCATGCTGTTTCATATTTTAACTCTAATATCTATGCATATGCTTTGTGTGGGTAGACCCTGCCCCATTGAAATTGCATGGCATTAAAATTCTAATTTCACAAAATAGCACTAAATGGCAGAATGAACACTGCTAGTGTGCTAAACTGCTAATCACAGTACACAGCATTATCAATACCGTATTCCATAGAAAAGTAAGTATTATGTCTTCCTGCAATACATCACTGTGCAAATGGGGGATCATTTAGTACTTGTAATGGTGAGAAAAACAACACCATCACTACCAGTCACTATGTACCAATCAGTATCAGGTACATACAGAACATGTACAGTGATTTTCCTTGCATGATAGGCAAGCAGAAATGTGTTATGCACATGCTCTGTTGTGGTCAGGAATAAAATGGATGCACCGCACCTACTTAACAACAGAGCATGTTCATAACACATTTCTGCTTGCCTATCATGCAAGTTACATTTATCATCCAAATGTTTGGATATCTACCAGACATACAAATGTACTAAATATACAGTACTAATCTATAATTATGCACAATGCTGGCTAAAGCCATTGTACTTTTATCATATCAAATATCTTGGTTACAGTTTCCTCGGAATCTACAAGATGACAATACTTTACAGATTAGTGGCATCCGCTTGCAAATGTAAAAACTAATTGTAAAACGACATTTCTGAGTAATTAGTGAAACACACATAGGACATAATACATAACCAAAACAATGAATGTAAATGTAGATGCATGTATAGGCAGATGGTACAGTAGTACATTATGTATATACAGTATGCATGATTGTATACAGAAAATGGTTTTGATGTTAAAGGCTAAAGGTTATGGATACACGCCTTAAGAGTGAAAACAAGTAACAACTATCAGTAAGAGATAATGTCAACACGTGTTCTAGTGTTTGGAGTCAACCAATAACATATTTTACTATGATAACATACTATCATGATTCCCAAATCCTAATACACATATCCCTCTATCAATTTAATATCTTTCATTATTACTATGCTTTCTCCCTCCCTCCCTCCCTTTCTCCCTCCCTTTCTCCCTCCCTTTCTCCCTCCCTCTCTCTCTCTTTCTGTTAATTCCATATTATCATGCTTACTCTTCCCCCCCTCTCTCTCTGACCTTTCTATGTCTTTATCACATATTTGCGGTACAATTAATTACCCGCTAATTAAAAACTATAATATAATATCTACAAAGTACACACACACAGAGCAAGGCTTCAGTCATGCCACACCATTTACCAATCAAGTGCTGGTAATACAGATACAACAACGTATATACACGCTTTATAAATAAATATAACACAATAGCTAGTAGTAGACAATAGATGTTTATAAACTGCATACTTCTGATATCTTTCCCTTGTATCTGAGCATGGCTTTCCGCTGTTTGACAACCATTGAATAAAGCTCATCTCTTGTTAAACTATCAGACACCGTTTGCTCGTCGCTGGTCGATGGGCGAGACGTAGGAGTGGAAGGGTTCTCTCTAGAGGCTGGAGCTGGTGATTTCTTCGATTGAGACACTTCCTCAGTCTCGTCTTGTGCAGACGAGGAGGAAGATGGATGAGTTTCAGTTTTTAATTGTTGGGTGTGGTCTTCTGATTTGGAGGTGTGGTCTTCAGGTTCTTTGTTTAGATGTTTGGTGTCGGTTTTATCAGGAGAATTCTCTTCTTTCTCGACAACAGGAGCTTTGGGTATCACGTCTTCATTTTTAATACCAGTATCAGGAGGAATGGGGCTACTCTGTGGTATGGACCTCTAGCAAAAAGATATCAATTTTAGTAAATAGAGTTAGTCTGTGTCCTTGTATCCCTACCTGAGGGGTCTGGGATCTTGGAGGGGTCGCTTGGGCTTTCTCTTCAAGAGTTTTTTGTTTGAGTTTTGCAAACATGGCCGCCAAGTTAATTTAATAATTAACCACGCCTCATTCAATAACTAGACTAACTATTTATTTGAGGTTTATTAATAGGTTTATGTAACCATTAATAATCATTATCACTCATTATCAGTGCCACAACATTGTATAGCTGTTATCTTTCCTGCTTATTTGTGTGTACATTAGCGCTATTGACTTTCAATTTTAAGTTTAAATGAGTAACTTTTTGATAATTTGCCAAAACCACAGTAGACATGAACAATAAACTGATATACAAGACAAAACAACAGAAAACATATGGACTTAAAAACATAATATATATCGATCACACAAAAAGACAGAGGACACAAATAAATGACATGTATATATGTACACACTCAAAGAGTGAAGAACTATAATACCTGATAACAAAAGAAAATAAAACCTGGGTTTTGAGATAATAATTAAAAAGCAGATAAAAACTGCTCATTGCTATAGTTTTGAAGAGAAACTGTGTAAACTGCATTGATCAGTGAGTGAGAGCTAAGTGAGTCCATCGATTCGAGCAGGGTTAAGTGAATATTGTCGTGATTTACCGTCGTACCTGTACAGTCATTGTCTGCGTGCTATTATGATAAGTTACAGTCGGTGAGTGAGCGAAAGAATGAATGAATGAATGAGGGGATAGGGGGAGGGAGGTCGAGTTTAGTGGTAAGTGAGAGTGATGCTGTATCGTTTTAGTTGTTGTACCAGTTCAGTGTAGTAGATGTTGTCTCTGTTGATTCTTAACATTTCACTGCTCGAATGTAGGGATAGGTCTGTGCATTTGGACCAGAAGGAGACTCTGTCTTGCTTGACAAGGAATGGTCGAAGTGGATAGCTGATCTCATTGGCATTGTATGTGTAGGAGATGTATAGGGCCATGAGGACCAGTTCCTTGGCGTCTGCTAGTGTGCGGACCTCGAATCTCTCGAATGCTTTCTGCAAGAGCATGAAAGTGAACACCACGTGAGACTCGAGAAGAAAGGAGTTGACAGTCCAGCCATTGAGGTGAAGGGCCTTGTCAGTGCACCTTACCCACATGGCTACCTCTGGAGCTGTCGGTCTGGTAAGGAGTCCCTTGCACTCGTGGTGGACGTAGGTCCCGAGGCAGTGAAGGAGATCAGTGAGGGTCCATCTTTTCTCTGTCCTACGTAGTTGTTCCGCTGTTGCTTTGGTGGCGGGTTTAGTCTCCAAAATGAGCTGCTCCTTCTTGCTCAGCTGTTGCTCTGGTTGTTTCTCTGGCTGAGGTGTAGCCTCTTGAGGCTGATCACGATTTGAGACTGTGCCAGACATCTTCTCTTTGTCTGCCTTTCTCTTTGAGCCGGCAGCCAACTTGAGTTTGGCTGCGGCGCTGGTTATCTTCTTCACGTCATGGCTCAGTTTGTTCTTGACGTCCATGCTGCTCCCGTTTCTACTAACAGCGACTGTGCTGCGAGATTTGCTATGATCTACGCTCATGCCGGATCCCATTATAAAGCTGCTTGGAGTCTGGTAAGGAGATAGCCTTATTTGTTCAAAGTGTGAATGTTCACTGAAGGCGCTAATAGCCACTATGGGAAGAAACGATTTGCACTACCCTTGTTCGCTGGTTGTCGAACGATTGCTTCCAAGTTTTCTGTATTTCGCACTATTACAATTGTTGATGCACTGAAGCTCTCAGCATGCTCCCTTTATAGCATTCGACCGGGCCTAAACCGGAACAGTTACCCCGGACAACCCACTGAACCCAGTTTTGACGGTGAACGTAACTGTAGTAAACAATACTGAGTTACAGTTATTAATTTGACTATAAAGTTTATTAAATTAGCAATAATTAGCCTTGACTTAATTCAAAAAGAAACGTTTCTTACATTCTCAAAACAATGATATGAACAAGAAGAGAAGAAGTAAATCAGAATACACATAATAATATAGAAGCAATAATGAGCAAGAGCTGGGAGAGCAAGCAAAATGATAAATAACAATTAATAATAATAATAATCAGTGAAAAGTTACGAGTTTTCAGTTAATTATTAAATGGCCAGATTAGCGTAAAACCCTCACGATTTTTCTTGACAAGCGGACGAGGAACGTTCTCTGACTGACAGTCAAGCTGACGGTACTTTCCAGAGACACTGAATGGGACAGGATTAGCAACATTGACCTTTATAGTATGACCATACTTTCTATGAAGAGAGAGAGAGAGAGAGCGAAAATATGCTTTTAAAAATAATATTAAAAATCAAAAATTAGCTGTAATTTCCAGCTCCTACACCCATAGAGGTCTCAAAAGGGTCCCAGCTATTAATCAGTGGCTATAATCTACTATGAACAAGGGAATCAAACAGCAAACATCACAAGACATCAACACAATCCTGATATGTGTACTATCACAGTACACACTCAAAGAAGATGAAAGGAGCATAAAGTTACACAAAATACAAACACATGAATGGGGAGAAACAGTTCCCAAGAGAGAAGATACCATTGAAGTAATGCTATCTATAAAAACTCAGCAAGAGCTATGCAAATACAATGGGTAACTAAAGAAATGTAGGAGTAATGGAAGGAGGGGACAGAGTCTAGACCAACCACCACAATAGAGTAGAGTATTAGTTCTATACCAGAACACCAAGACTGTACTAACTAGAGGAGGGACAGTGTCTCTTAAGCCAGCCTCCTTTATCTCCTCCCCACATGCTTTAAGGAACATAAACAATTAAAAAGGATATCTCATTTACTAACAATAATACAATGAGAGATAACAATACAAAACTCCCTCTATAGCTGATATCAATGCACACACACATACAAATACACACACACCCTCTCTCTCTCTCTCTCTGCTTTCACTTATCGCCACAAGAATTCAACATTAATAGTAAATATAAACCTCACAATCATACAAGGGATACTCATTAAATCCCCTTTGCCTCTTCCTCATCAAAATACTACACAACACAATAAGGAAATGCCAGAAATACAACAATAGTTTCATTGAATATATGATCTTCACTCATTGTCATGACACATTGTAAAAAATACATACCACATCCATTGATCATAATCATTATCTAAAGGCATTATTAGGTGATGATAATACTCACTAACCTTTTACATGTTTGATACAAGACAGCACATAGCTCAGGGACTCTACTCTCACCATTTGGTGCAATAATGTAACAGAGCAAGTCACTGCCTCCATGGAGGTGAACAATGAAGCCCTGGTTGTTCTCCGGAGTCACTGAAATCCCTTCAACGTCTTGGAGTGGTATAGGAGTCTTCTTGCGCTGGAAGCCTTTGTTTGGGTCCAATTTAAACATGTGATTGTCAGAGATCAATATTGCTCTGTGTTGTACACGACCTCTTTTGTTGACCTGTATATACATGTACATATACACATGAGTATAGTGTATGTGTATGTGAGTGTGTGCGTGGAATATGAGGAGGAGAGAAAGAGAGAGAGAGAGACAGAAAGAGAAACATGTCACAAATCATCAGTCAAGCTAATAATTCCCATACAATAGAACAAAGACATCAAAAATGGGGGAGAGCCAAAATTTTAGTTGTCAAAGGTGTAGCAGACATACCTGCTTTTGATCAAAATAACAATTGGCATGCAGTATCTCTCTCATGCATATATGTACATGCATGCATGCATAGATGACATAAAAATTGATTAAAGAGTAAAATAATTAGAACACAAAGTGTAGCATTACATGTCAATAGCCTTAAGCTTTGAGTGAAGCCCTAGTTGAAATACATCAAGGCAAAGGAAATCTGATAATAGATATCAGGAGAGGAGGTTGTTTGGCAAACATCAAAGGCTCTTAGAATAACGAAAAACTATGACAAGGAGTGCTACCCAGATTACATGATGCTGCAAGCAAGCTTTTGAAACATAACTTCCTGTTAGACTTGACAAAGTAAAACATACGTCATTGCCAGTGTCTGGCCTAACATTAGATTAATAACAATAAGACAAATGAAGCTATACATACAATCAGTATACACAAGTCACTCCATATACAAACACAGTACTGTAGTAATAGACATAAAGAAACATACTGTTTGAATAGTAAAGCTTGTTATACGATCCCAAACACTTGTAAGTCATTATGAGACAATGAAGTAAAGGGAACAGATGTAATACATGTCTAGTGAGGTAGTTCCTGTGTCTAAGAGCTTAATCTATGAGCTATATATAATCCATAATTGTTCTATTAATAGAAGTAAGGTCTGAAGTGCTAGAATCCCCACAATGCAATTATATGGATATCTTACTGGGTACTATAACCAGTAAAACCTTCTATTTGATATATATTTACTACTAGTCATTAAATGAGTCATGCACACAGGCAGGATGCAAGTTGTAACCTTGACAACCTCAGCAGTCTAATACCCAGCTGCTAACTTCAATGGAGCATGTATCAGATTATTAACCTCATAGACAAACCATCAAAGGAAATGACTCATTGCTCCCCATGACAACTGCAGTGGTATGTACAGTCTGGGCTGGGGGTTTTAAAAATCATAAATCTAGTGGAATTATAGTGTCATTAGAGCTTAGTTAAAGAAGTGTTAACGACAATGTTATGGCTTCAAGATCAAGAGGTCAAGTCAAGCAAGGGTTGAGCCTACATACAGTCCCCTTGATGAAAGAAAGTTCATAACTTCAATAATAATTTAATTTTAACTGCCAATCAAAGGCAATTTAAAGCATTGGATTACTACTGTGTGACTGTTGGGAGAGTCAATAGGTTAAGATTGTATGAGGAAATAGAGTTGAGAATTGTTAGCAAGCAAGAGTGACACAGGACACCTGAGAGGCACACCTGAGCTGATGAGACAGCAATCACTACAGACTGCAATAGTCTGTGTTTATCTGCTGAACATGCATATGTACATCATCAATATAATTATGCTTGTATGGTGCATGTGAATGATGAGTATAGTCCATAATAACACATGCTTCTTCCTATATACATTACAGTAGTATAGCTCACTTTCATTACTTCACAAGAGTATAAAACTTTCTCAAACCCGTGAGAGCGTTGAAGATGAACAAGTGATGTATTGAATATAGCAGTTCGGGAGTTCTCCTCCTAACAAAACGAGAGAGAGAGAGAGAGAGAGAGAGAGAGAGAGAGAGAGAGAGAGAGAGAGAGAGAGAGAGAGAGAGAGGAGGAACAAAGAAGGGATATACATGGGAGTGATAAAGGCCGAACAACACTAATTACAAGCTACACAATTTGCAAAGTAACAAACTCACAGGTCTAGCCAAATAGTTCCCATGCCATTTTCTCTGCAGCCCCCAGTTGGGTCTCCTGTTCTGCAACACGTCGTAAGCAACACACTTCAACTGAACTGCAGGACGATCCTGTACAGGGACTTTCCTTAGGATAAACTCTGCCCTCCACCTTTATTGAAAGAGAGAGAGAGAGAGATTTCAAAACATTTCATGATTAAAATGCATGGAATTAAATATTCTAATTGGATTTTTAATGTAAAGTCTGGCACACTAGAATGGAATGACAAACTTAAAATGAGTGATGCATACTCCCTCATGGAAATCTACACGTGTTCAGTAGCCAAGGAATGAATTATTGTAACTTTGCTCAATCGTTTTAACACAAAGAATGCCCAAATGCAACAATACAGCAACTACAGTGCATATGAATATGATTCTAATGACAAGAGCATGACCAGTTGAGTCGAGCCGTCAATTACAACTCTGGAAATTATTATTTAATAAAAATACTCATTGATCTAAAGCGGTACACATGTACAATGACAAGGAGGTTAATAGTCAAAGGCGGACAAAAGCATATTTGTAGTAGCAGTGGAATGACAGCCAATAACCATAGTAACTAGACTAAAAGTGAGCTCTATGAATATCATCAATATCACACTATTATTGTAAAATGTATATAGCCTATAATTTTTGATAGTAGATGGGGGAGAAAGAGAGGGAAGGATAGGGAGAGGATAGATATGATTACAACAAGGGAATTGGTTACTTTGTGAAGTATAACAAGATAGGCAAAGCAATCCGGTATAATTCTCCTTAAAATAAAGACTATGGACACCTCAATCTGTGGAACACACACAATTAGTGAATGATACCGGAGCATATCGTGTTGAATCGCTTCTGCTGCTTCTTGTGTGTTCAGCTCACGGAGTGTATCCAGTTACATTGTCCCAGGACTGGATTGTATAACAAATCGTACTGTTATTACAAATTATTTTTTCAATTAAATGCCTCGTTGAATATGGAATAGGATCAAAACCTCAAATCTTTAATATTACTTAGGCAAAGCTTGAGCAGAGCAGTGTAGTATTGTGCGCTTTAGTATTAAAATATTCTGTGAAAGCATGATTCACAAATGATACTTTTTAAAGCTGGATTAGTACATTATACCAGTACCCCAAAACAAAAATAATAATAATAATAATAATAAGAGTCGTTGTTATTTAACATCCTGGCGGCCATTTCTGGCAGACTAATAAAGCAAAGGCATTGAACTGATGTCCTTCCCAGTAATAAATACGAGCTTGCCAATGACAAACAAACAAATACATGACCAATCGTGCATAGTCAATACAGCACTGTATAGTAACTGATGACAATGGAATAACAATACCAGGCACAACAAAGCAAAAAAACGTCAAGTGATGTGAACTGTTTATGAGATGAATGGAATAAGATATAAAGGAAAGGAGGCAACTGATAATATTTCAGTAGAATCTTTATTACGAGGATACACAAGAAATACATGTATCTGGATATGAATCACGTACACTCATTCTTAATATACATGTATGTACATGTATACTATCTGTGTGTGCATACGTCATAATATATACATGGTAATTTATAATTATGCATATCAATGCATGATAGTAGAGCGAAGGGGTAGCACTGAGAAGAGGAGGAGTGATTAATATTATTAATAATACAGAGCCTTATATTGCAATGGAGATAGAGATCAAAGCTAAAGCTAATAATGAACCTCATTCCCCTCTCACTCCTAATCACACAATCATGCACACACACACACATACATACATGTAAGATATCCCAACATGGACACACATATCCTTTTCAAAATAACGTTTGAATACAGCTCCCCCCACGTATTCTCTACTCTATCTCTCCCTCCTTCTTCTATGTCTTAATTCCCTCATGATTGACCAATACTTACAACGCAATGACATGTACAGTAATTGAGTAACAGAAACTCTCCCTATAATTACTTCCATAGATACACAAAGGGATGTAATACAACTAGCAGTGCAGTTTTATTGCTAATTGAGGACATCCTAGTATTGGTCAGAGTGCAATTTTCAATGTCACTGCAATGATGTAGATGCATATGTAAAACCAAAATATGTTGTAATGCAGGAACTGAATCATGCAATACGAAGCACCAGGTGACAGGTGTACAGTATATTAACTCAATGAGGAAATTACAGTACATGATGAAGGGACTCAATATAGTGTGCAATGTATGTGTACACTCAGTATTAGAGGGTGATGATCTTATATGAACAGCCAGGAACTATCAATGAGAATGATGCAACTAGCCATCTGGAAGGCAATAAGTAATGGTGTGCTAATAATAGATCAGAGAGTCTGAGACTTGAGGAAGTCAGTAGATGTTCATGAGAATGAAGCCAGAGAGTATAGGACTGATCAGAGAGACTGATGATGATGCAAAAGATCAATAGATAATTAATGAGAGAGAGAGCGTGTGTGTGTGTGTGTGTGACAGTCAGCATGAAGCACCAGTTATGATGATGCAACTAAGAGAGAGGGTCAAAACAAACCTATATTAGAATTACATATGTACTTGACTGCATATGACATAAGTGCTAATACTATTATACACATTGACTAATAGGCACAAAGCAGTTTATATATGAAATGATGTATTGGTAGTACTTCTCATGCACACCTGTAGCTCCACCAGCTGCTCATACATGAAGTCACATGACTTCAAAGCAGTGCCTATACTAACATGTGTCATACAGGACTTCATATACCGGTAAGCATGTTTACTGTCAGTACATATAGAGAGATTGTTTCTAGTAAAAGGAGAAGTAGAGAGAGATAAGAGAGAAAGCTTATAAAAACACTGATAGATAAACTGGCTTATATAACCAGACTGGTACGCATAGTATAGACTATAGTTAATATTATATTCATCTATAGTCCATACATTCGATAGCCTAATCTATACTCTTGTGTATAAGGATAGGGTAACTGTAAAAACAGGAGTACATATAAATAGAATAGGAGGAGAGTATAGAGTTATATTATTAAGAAAAGGGCAGTAGTCTACTGTGTATAGTACCTATGTACACATAGAGCTAATTAGGTAAACAGCATGAAGGTGTTTGAGATCCCTACCCTTGGTTTCCCATATGCTAAGAAAACTGAGACAGGAATCTGTGGAGCCTTGCCTACCCACTCATTTGAAGAGTATTTATAAACAAAAGGATAGAGTGTGTGTACTTATGGGAACACACAGTGAGGGAAACGAGGAGGAGAGAGAGAGGAAAGAAAGAGAAGAGAGAGGGAAAGAGAGAAGACATTTAATGAGGAAAAGAAGATAAAGAGGAAAGAGCGAGAGAGAGAGAGCGGAGATATAGATAAGAGAGGAAAGAAAAGAAAACAGAAGCCAAAAAGAGAGAGTATGTGAGAGCTCACACGGACACACTAAACCTCATTGACATACATTTACCACATGGACTAATCCATGAACCAAATACTCTAATCCTTATCATAATTTAATAGCAAAATGGACTATAATGCCGATAACATCCTCAATCCAGTCTCACAGGGCAGCCATTAAGTCAACAGTGTGGGTTACATCCCATTAGGTCTCCATTAGATGAACCCTAACAATAGGAGGGGCTGGTCTCACCAAAAGAAATAAACAAAGCCAGGTGCAGTGTAAATACTGAGAGACCAGGCACACCTCAAACCAATAGCACAGACATACTGAATAACAATTGTGTACCACACACAAAGAGAGAGAGAGAGAGATCATTTTAAAGGGGGAACATTAATGGCCTGAAGAGCCACCTTATTACTAAGCTGTAAATCTACAAGGACAAACAAAAGCCAAACCAGACAATCCAATATAATTCACAATATCCATATAAAGACGAGTGTCAATGAGTGATAATGACCCAGTACAAAATCTATTATTGGTCCAGCTGCCAAAGAAAAGTGACATTAAAGAGAGAGGGAGGGAGAAGGAGAACAAGAGACAGATATATGTGTTATGATATACATATATCCCACAATGATGACATGCAAATGTAGCATACATGGCTACTGCTGTTTACATTAATTGGCATGTACTGATACATGTACTACAGCACTCCCCAAGTGTTTTCATTCCTAGTAACAATAATGACTGGATGGCTGGAGCAGGGAGAAATCATATCAAAAGTGAATGATATCATCATGATAACAGTCTATACCCACTCCTCCCCCACCTCCTACCCTCCATTCTGTTCCATTCCTCCATTTAAACTACAAAGCCAATGGTAAAGGCATATAATCCTATATATACTGCTCATATATATATACACACACATTAATCATTATTATTATTATTATTATGACAATTATATGCATCAGTAATCGTCACATGTTCATAGAATATCAAAAATTCCTCCTACACCCACTCAACATGCAGCTACATTGAATCCATTCTAAATCAAAGGAAGGATATACTGTACAAGGAAAAAGCAATTAATCAGCTTGAACTTTAATATGATTAGAGTGATTTCTCTGTTTATAATCAAAGAGGCTTATTCATTGGGTCACAGATACAGGAAACTCTTATTATGAATCTAGTTATACCACCATTGGATCCCTATCAGTGTAGCAGAGGTGAAAAACACACCCTCAGTTTGAAACTTGAGTCTATTAAATGGATAATCCCCTAACAGACCTCTCCCCTCTCTCTCTCTCTCCATTTAGCAGCTGTCACCTCAAATAATTCCATTATAACAATAATCACTATATTATTAATACTGGATACCTGACTGTCTGAAGGCTATAATTCTAATTATAAAATCTCAGTCCAGCTGGTCCGGTCTTCTTAATGACTTTAATATCAATTAATACTGGCCCACTGTTGTGGACCAGCTGCTGGGCGTACCGCCAAATTACTCCCCAGGCCAGGGAGCAGTAATTAATACTAATTAATAGGAATGAGGGCCAAGTGTGCATACTATAGAGTCACGTTTAAAGTGTACATGCATCTACACAGGCAGCATGTGCCTATGTTCTTTTTAGTACTACTTAATGCAAAAAATGTATTTAAGGGACATTTTAGTCGCCTTACCCAACTGTCCAGGATTAGGAAATGGTGTTATGGATTTTTCTTGTAAAACAATTAGGAAATGTAAAGGTACATGAGAATACATGTACACGTACACGAATATGAACAAGTTGGTACATTGCTATATTACATTATTCAGGCTTTCCCTTTAAGCATGCTAAAGCATGAGCTTAGTGAGCTGACAAGCATTACAATACAGTACAAGGCATTTGGAGCAACTTTAAAAATTCGTAAAAAATCAAATTTTGATTTGAATCAATTTAAATTTTCTACACAACATAATAAAATTATAAAAGTGGGGAATTCTCTCGGAGCCATTTTTGGCGAAATTTGACCAAATACCTTGTGCTATATAGCACAGGGATTTCGATGCAATTGTTGAGCAACTTTAAATCCACTAACAATTAAGAGCCAGCATATAAGCACTATGCCAAAATCCTGTGGGAAACCCTGCCTAACTGTAAGGATTAGGAAGTTACTTATTCTTGTAAAACAACTAAGAAATGTAAAGGTATAATGTACATGAGAATACATGTACACGTACACGTATATGAACAAGTATAGGTACATCACTCTAACATATAATCACCAAATATTACAAGCTATAGCTCCTTGACAAAATCAACAAAATCAAAAAGTAGTAATAATAATAATGATGATGATGATGATGATAAATAAATAAATAAATAAATAAATAGCTTCCCTAACAGAAGCTTTATACACGTAAAATAAAAACAAACAAACTTTGTAACTATTTATTTATTTATTTATTACACCTGGTCCATCCTTATTTGAAAAAAATCATTTTTATAGCCCGTAGTAATGAGGATGCTGGACACATTACAGCTAAAGGTGGAGTGCATTCCAGCAATGGCTCCATAATGAGAGGAGACTGGCATCCCCCACTATCAACAATCACATGCTCTCACTACAATTGGGTATGTCTGACATGCAGAGCATCTCTTTGATGAAACTTCTTATTGTACAACAATAAAGACAATAACTAGAAATTGATCTGCTTCATCGAGAAAAAGCAAAATGCCAATTATTTGTGAGAAAAAACAAATTCGGCCTCAGTCTAAGACCAGCACGAATCTAGCTATTATAAGATTATACTCTCACCATTATTAGTATTAGTATTATACAGTATAATGTAGCAGTACTATATTGTATGCTACTATTAAGTACATGTACTTGTTGTTCATTAAATAATTGACAGGATTTGAGGCATGTCTCTTCCTCTCATTACATATCCTTGATATTCCTGATATGTCTTTGAAGTAAGTAGCAGATGATACAAGTACATGCTGTTAGTAGCAGATGATATATACAAGTAGATGAATGTAAGCAGTGCGGCAATACAGACACTTAGGCTTGTAATGTACAACATAACATGAATAGCTTTAATACCTCCCTACAGTAGAGTTGCATGCATGACTTAACCAGAGGACAAATATATACACAAAATACAAAGATTTAACTTGCAAGAACACACACACACACAAACAAAATATGCTTACAGAAACAGCCAAACATGTATGTGCATACACTGAAAAACAAGTACATAAAATTTTTTTAAAAGACACAAACAGGTCCATACATAGAGTAGACACACACATGCTGAATCATTCATAAAGAATCAAAGGAAGAAAACAGAGAGTGACAACAACATTACATCATCAGACCGTTATCAGGCATAAGTTGACCGATAGATGCAAACCAATACACTAGCTATTTACATATTGGAATAATAATGGTAACCCAATAGTCTGTGTCTATACACCAGAAAATGAATATCAGTCACATATGAGGTTTGTTTTTTAGCTACAGATAATGATTAATGTTAATAATAACTAATAAACAGCAGCCACTGGATTATACAAAACTCATATAGACACCCCTAGCTCTGTTCAACACACACACACACACACACACAATAAAGTGTATTGCCTACAGTCGATAATAGAAAGTGATAAAAATAAGCAAACTGGGGGCCTGGCCTGACCAGTAATTCAATAATAAGCAGTATAGCCATTGGAAAGGTACAAGTATGTACAATACATGCACGAGTTAGTGTCTGTGTACAACTGGGCATGTGTGGTGGAATATGGGTACATAAGACAAAACTGGACTCATTATTGTTGTATTTCATTACATATTAAGTTTTACTGATCTAATACTTGAATTTGGCTCATGGAGTAATTAATGCAATTAAAAAAATTTTTTCTAGCCCAATTAAAAAGGCATGGGCATATAACTTATCTATAGTCTATGTACTTCTTTTGCATATTTTATTATGGTAATATGGTTACTATTACATTAATGAATAACTTCCTCCTAGAACTTGAGGTGTAAATCCCCTTGTTGGAGTATAGTGTTACCAGTTTTTACCAGGTGGTATATAGTGTATATACATAGTGCTGTTGTATCATTAAAACTTATCAGGAATGAAGGCCCACCATAACAACATGATAAAACAAAACCACCTCCTTCTTACTACAATGAAGGAGGGCAAAGCTTATTCTAAAAAGACAGTGTATATCTACTGCACAGTGACCTCCTCTTTCAAAATTGATAAAAATGATAATCCCCTAGCTACTATTGATGACTGAAGTTTTTGTTGTTGCTTTGCAATTTTAACTACATATATACATCTACATGTATTAGCAATGCATTTCAAAATAATTTATTATTAAGATTCGCTTTAATGTCAATCTTAGCAGATGTCATTGGAGCAGGAGATTTCCATGAAAGTATATAACCGTCACCACAACCATGTCTTAATAATGTAATTTCATGGCGCATATACTGGAGTGGATTCTGTACTACACTACAGTACAGTATAATATGAAGGGAGAGTATCTTAACAAAAGGATATTGGAGAGAGCTATAGTGATGGCTATCAAGCCAATGTACACCACCTTATCCAAGCCAAGTACACATATCATTAACCACTGGATGAGATCATACTATAATAAGACTGTATTGTGCCAGGAAACAAAAAACTGTGTACTACACATACAGTTGATGCTATTAACATATTGGATCCCCCTAGTAGAGTGCAGTGCTCCAGTATTGTGACCTATCACCTTGTATTGTAGACTACTGGGGAGATACTGTATACCATATATAGCTACACTTTCTATTTTTATAGTTGAGAGGATCATAATAATTATGACTAGACTAAAGACATCACACATGTAACAGTTAGCATAAGTTCGTCTTGGCCTCTTTCTCATTCTCATACATGCATATAATGATCATAATTAGCAACACAGGGCATGGTGCCTATCTATAATGGACAAGATGTAGGTCTCCTTTATTTGGAGGTGCTTGCTATAAAGAAGCTCTACTATACCGTGGCTGAAAGGATCATACTACTCTATATTCCCACTCTATCACATCATATATGAGAGGTCACAATATTATGAACCAATGAATAATGAGTATATATACTAGCAGTCATCATAAGAGTGGACCATAGTAGCTGATAATCATTGAGTAACTGACCTTCCGTGTATATCTTTAAGGAAACTGACACACTGCTGGAGGACTGGGGGAGGATCGGGCCACACTATACTCTTACCAAGATCAGGAAGAGAACGAACATTACTGGAGAAAAAAAGAGAAAGGGGAGAGAGAGGGAGAGAGAGAGAGAGTGAGAGCAATTTTGAGAGAGAGAGAGGAATAACATGAATTTTACATGTAAACACATCTCAATCTATACATGCTGCTATGGTAACAGTGATGACCTGGAGATAAATGACCATGAGAAAGAGGCCATGAGCCAAAAAATAACGTACATTAATTGACAAACAAAAAACGACAATAAACAAAAACAGCTTACACAACCTGGAGCAACCAGCACACTCATTACGAGTGAACTTAAAACTGGTTGACTCGCACAAACAATAACAATATCCAATAAAATAATGACACTTGTACGTGTACATGAAGCGTACCCATGCATGTAGTCAACTTTTCTAATATCCTCCTGTCTAGTCACACTAAAGAGTACTATAGTAACAGTCTGAGACACAATAACAAGGAAATATTGACAGATTCACATAGAGTCTAATGATGATGATGATGAGGCCCGTGTATTATATACATGTACATGTAGATAGAGCTTTAAGAGATATTGTACATGTACATGTAATGCATGTGTACATGCATGTATCCCTAATGAATGACTGTCTATCAATGTAAATATATATGACCCACACATGTATATACATGTATACACACAAATAATTATACATGTACATGTAAATTATAATCTAAATGCATGTACATGCAGGCATGTAAACATATTATTATTGTATTTACTAGCATGGGGGGAACATGTGAAAAGGAAGTACGATGATAGACTGATAATCATATGTGCCTATAAGTCTGGTAAACAGGTCAGAAGAATGGGTGGGAATAGCTGGCTCAAATAAAAACTAAGTGTTTAGGTAGAAGAGGGTACTAAGTAAACTAGACTCACTCATTCTCATGCCCTGACACCTCAAGAAAGGATAGAACACCCACTGTATTGTAACTCATGAATATATACATAAATATACTTACAAACAACATAATATAAAACTAAAAATAATAATTTAATGATTTGTTGGAATTGCTCGTTAAGAAAAAGAAATCGTACAAAATGAGAGAAATCAAGCACGTACTATAGCTGGTATTAATAAATAAAATAATAATTATTATAACGATAATTTAGGAGTTTCGGTTTATTTTCTATTTATGGCATACATGCACAACATAATGTACACAGTGCATATAATCATCATCATAATTCATAAAATGCCTTAATAATCATGTAGGGAGACACAAGTGACATTGACAGTAGAGTACTGCCTGTCTGCCACAAATTCCCACAATGATACTATGAGCATAATGAGTACTAGCTAGACTACTGGACTACATGCAGTCACACCCAGCAAGCATACATACTCCTGACAGCACCCAAACACAACTACAATAAAATATGTGCATATAATAATATAATAATAATATCAATGTACATTTATAATATACTAAAGGTGTACAAATATGTATGCATGAGCTAAATTTTTTTTAGTGTAAAAAGGGTGTGTGCTGCACACATGGACACAGTAGGGAGAAATTAGCATAATTGTCACGTACATGTACATGCATGAGAGCATGCAAGCACACTACATGTATATATCCTATAGTACATGATGCAGAGTCATTATATAGACATTAGAGACAGAGTTAGGTGTGTCAGAGGATTGAGGATTAGCTGTTCATGTACATGTACATACGTTAATGGTACAATTGTACATAACGAGTTGTAATGCTTCTCTCTCTCTCCCTCTCTCTCTTTCCTCAGAGCAGAGTTGTACTAGTACATGAGGGAGGGCTAGGTGTGACACTGTTCAGTCAATCATTCGCACGAAACGATGCAAAGGAGTGACAGGATCATAACAATACGTGGGAGAGAGAGAGGGAAATGAGATGAGAGATGAAATATACTTTAATCCCAGTACATGCTGTACAAGTGCTAGTCCCTTATTTATTTTATTTATTTATTTATTTTATTATTTATTTATTTATTATAGAAAGGAGACAGAGGGGAAAAGTGGGAGAGAGTAAAAGTGATGATGGCTTGGCTTAATTATTACCTGAAGAGTTCCACCAGAGAGCAAATGAAAACTCTTAGTTTGTACCTCCTGAAGTAAGTGAGGATGACTTGCTTAGCATTTGTCTTACGGATACGATTGCGAACCAGAAAACCGCGAGTGTACTAGAAAAAATAAAATAATTATAATAATTTATAATATCTGCATGCATGCATGAAATTTTTGCCATTTAGCTATTATAATACAAGTACAGTACATATACATATGGTCTTGCATTATAAAAATTGCCCCCAAGAGCCTTTGATATCTGTTACATACACAAGATACAGATGGGCTATGCTGAAAGTTTAAAGGTGATTCCGTTGTGCTAGGGCAAGGAGAGCGGAGATGAGATCAGTTTGATTGCTTTATTGAACAGGCCAATAATAACAATAATAATAAACATTCCCAGTAACAAATCATAACACTACATGTATCAGCAAGAGAAATACAGGCAATATGACGGTAGGATATCATATATGTACTATTCTGGGTGCCATAATTAAGGAAACTTATAACGTACACATTGAGAGCAATTAAGATTTATACATGTAACAATTAATGCATCTACATGTACATGTACATGTACATGTACACTCCTCTGAATGATTAACATATAGAATTATAAATTATATCATATTTAAAATGGTTACACTCGTGTAATAGGAGCAGTCCCTACTAGTGGGTCCTACTAATTGGAATAATAAACTTAAAAATATACAGCAATAAAATAGTCATTAATAAAAATAAAATAATGACATAATACGATATAATGATGAATTAATGTACAATGTGCTAGTACTGTAGTAGCTTTTTAATCACATGCTCTCATTAAAAATGTGTGCAGACACAATCAAACATTAAAATGAAAAACCAAAAAATGAATATTAAGATTAATGTGCACAGTATTATAGGCATAGAGTGTACAAATAACACATATCATATTACCCAGGTGCATATCTGTACCAATGTAACGTGATATGAATGCAAATGCATACACACAACAACAAACAGAACAAACATAGACACACACATACAATAATGTAATATTTATTTGTAAAAAGAATAAAAGAAAGAGAAAGAGGGAGGGAGGGATTGGGGGAGAGAGAGAGAAAATTAAGAGGAGGAAAAAGGGGAAGAGTGAAGGAGAGAGAGAGAGAGAGAGAGAGAAGTAGAAGAGGTAAATAAAGATCACAGAAAAACAGGATAAGAGAACAAAGAGAAAAGGATATTAGGAGGATGAGATAGAAAATGAGAAAATGAAGAGAATGAGATCAAATGGGATAAGGAAGATTCCATGATGACGTATGTACATAATGTCACACACACAATGACACAATGATCGACGCATGTACTGTACATGTACATGCACTGCTTTGTGTCCGTGTGAAGAGTAAACAGCAAACAACAATATTGACATATCAGAGGAACACAAACGCACACACACAAGAGGTCGAAAACAAGCCATTATTAAAGCTACTGAGACACATGCGACTAAAATCAAAGCAAATATCACACATACTCTCTATACTAATTAAACAAGTCCAGCTGACATGGGTTATATGCCAGCTGTAAAATTAATAAATTCAATAGTCTAGCGTATCGATTCACCCACACAGGCTGTGTGTGTTAGAAATGAGCATTAATTAATTTAAAGCTGATATCTACTGGGGACCATAACCACACGATAAATAATAAAGAGATAATACACGCTAACAGTACAGGATGTGTGGAGTTGGGGATGGGGGAGAGATGGTAATCAAATATAAACCAACGACCACAAACCAGCAAAATAATAAACAATGTGAGGAGTTCATCTTGAAGGAGTGTAACATGAATAATAATGAGAGAGAGAGGGGGGGGAGGGAGAGAGAGGGAGAGAGAGAGAGAGTGAAAGAGAGAGAGGGGGGAGGGAGGGAGGGAGAGAGAGAGAGAGAGGGGGAGAGAGAGGGGGAGAGAGAGGGGGGGAGGGAGGGAGAGTGAGAGATGAGAGGACATGCTGCTCCAGTTCTCATATTCATGTACAGGTACTCAATGTGCTACACATTATTAAGTAAACATGGTAACTGTACTGGGCCAGACAGCACTAATGGACATGCTCCATTCAATGTCTTCGTGTTTTGTCTTAAAGGTTGAATGGCTATACTCTCCCTCCCTCCTCCACTGCCTCCCCGACCACATCCCGCATGAGACTACCCGTCTCCCCTCAACTCCCTCTCTTCCTGTTTTCAAGTCTCTACAAGACATACTGTTAGCCATTTTTAATCCTTTTACATGCATAAAGGGACAATCAATAAAGAGACATAATGTTAGCAGCTAGTTCTTCTATTATACAAGAATATAATTACATGTACATGTACATGGTAGTAAAATGAAGGTGGGGCTATGTTGTACATGTACACATACAAATTAATAATCTGTAAAATTCTATTGGTAGCTACATGCACATATGCTACATATAATAGAGTTATAGGCAATATTAATCATTTCACACTCGCGTGAGTATAATTCCTTTTACAGACATGATGGTGATTGTACACATATTTTTGTTGAAATTAAATTTAAAAGTCATTCCATAATAGCGTTCCAATGCGCCAGAGGATACATATACAATTACAACAGACACACAAAGCCCGGAATCCATACATTCCACAAGACAATCAAATATACATACAAGAACAATAATAATGTATCCCTGATATAGTCTTCCTTCCTCTGACTCCCTCTCCCTCCCACATCAAGACTAATCCATTGTGTTATGCAGTGTCACGTATACTCTCAAATAGCTGGAACACAGACTAGATTAAACAAGCCATTGTGTTGTTCATCAACATGACTGTCTCTCTCATTCTTAAGGAATGCAAAGTGAAGGAGTGAAAGTGACAAAGAGAGGGACACCATTCCTTTGTAGTCATTATTTCAGTAAAGCGAAGCTCACGTTACAATCTTCATATATGTACACACATGCTCCTTCCAATAATCACGCACCAACAGACGCACGCACTAAAACATGACAGGAGCATTGATGTACATGTACAGTGTATATGCATGTCAATACATGTCCATAACATTAGGTAATTTTGAAGAATAAAATTTGTAAAAAAATACTTAAAATTTATACCCTCTTCCTTTTATAACATTAATGGGTCTGATCAATATTAATTAACATGACTATATAAAATTAATGAAAATAATAATAATAATAATAATAATAATAATAATAAGGTGCTACTAATATTACTTTTATTTCTTAATTATTACCTTTTGGAGGATGACAACTATCCTTGGTATGGCATCAAGCCTCCTTCTCTCCAGGCTAGTTAGGGTCTGAGGGCTGCGTATGAATATCTTGGTCTTTGGTAGCTCGGGTGTAGTAAGCAAGCTTGACCTGATCCAATATAGCAGCAGTGGCTTGCTGGATGGAGCCATTGTAGGACGGCCATGTTGCTGGACTCAGTACTTTATAGCTATAGAGATACACCAAACATTATTTATTATGTAAAGGAGAGATGAAAGGAGAGAGAAAGAGAGAGAAAGAGAGAGAGAGAGGAAAACAAGAGATGGAAGGAGAGAGGGGGAGAGGAAAAAATATTTCATTAATTTACCGTCCCACAAATCTCTCGTAAGGTTGTCTATTAGCAAAACCAGCTCTTCTCACACGAACATTCTCCAACAAACCGAGATAACTGACCTGGAGCAAAAACACGTACATAGTGTTTTTAATAATGGCATGTGGGCAGTGGTTTGTCTTACTTGATGCCTCACTCTCTCAACATTGAATGCAACTGGCGACTTTAACTCATTTGGTTTGATGCAACGAACATAGAATGGATCCTACAGTAATAACAGTATAACCATGATACATAATACATGTCATGTACATACGTGCACACCAATATATTTTTAAAAATAAATATTAATTTATTTGATTTTTCTCACTTTAGTCTTCAGATTAGCCACGAGGGCTATCATTGATTCTTTAAAGATGGTTCCGGTTGACTTTGGTCGTTTGGTTACCTCGGTAACAGCCTGGGACCCCTCTGGCCACATGTCACGCAATATAGCATGCTTACTAATAAATAATAATAATAATAATAATAATAATAATAATAATAATTAATAAATAAATAATAATAATAACTGTCATAACTGAAAAATTGGGAATTATCATAAAAATGATAAAGGGTATACTGTAAGCGTGATACCAACAATGCAATAGTGTTTAATATTAATTCCAAAATGAAACAAAAATACTAACAACAATAACAATACATGCATGAGTTACATGTACATGTACTTTCGACATGTACTGCATCTACATGTACATGCATAACGTACATTTAATTGTTTATACAATCAGTAGCTCCCAAATAAAGGAAATTTATTTTCACTTACATATACAGTGTACATCAATTTAATAATCATGACCATAGAGATGTATGTAAAGCATTAATGGGCAAGCCTATAAGCAATTAAGCATGTCCTTATAAGATACAGTAAACCTTGAAGCAATGAAACACATGATGCCAATACTTATACAAATTACAGCTCAGAACTTGGAAGGAATTCACATCAATGTGATGATTGTAAATGTAGATTGTTTATCTGCTTTCTTAACCTGGAGACATTGTGACCAGACCCACTTTCAATGAAGATTAGATTACTTATAACAGTTAGACTTTTAGTTTAAATAAATAAATAATAATGTAGTGAAGACTAATGTTCTCCTACTTCTACCACAATTCTATAATTTTATTTTAACAATAAAATGTTTTTTATAAGCCGCAGGAGCTATGTTGTACATGTAGTCAATTCGGCCAAAGTTGGCCCAAGCTCTTAAATGGAATCAAAAATAAAATTAAAATAAAATAAAAACATTATTATCAGTAAATAATGAGAGAATAAATACACAACTGATGAGTGGGCGAGAGAAAGAAAATATAATTTTAAAATCCTGCTAAGAATAATATAATAATTACACACCCTCGCACTCAATTGTAAAAAATAAATAAAGTGATGAAAAATAAAATAAAATAAAAAAATTAATAAAATAAAATAAATAAATAAAATAAAATATAATAAATAAATGCAATAAAATCAAGCTAACCTGTTATATAGAAGACGCTTGAAGTCCTGGAAGACAGGATCCTTGTTCTTATCAATGAAGGCAGTGATGGTGTAGGTGACATTACCGGCATAATGCTTTATCAGGAACTGCTCATCTCTCTGTAGCTCTTTATTAGTAGGATTGACCTGAGAGGAGGAGAGAGGGAGGGAGGGAGAGAGGGAGGGAGAGAGGGGGAGGGAGAGGGAGAGAGGGAGGGAGGGAGGGAGGGAGGGAGGGAGGGAGGGAGGGAGGGAGGGAGGGAGGGAGGGAGGGAGAGATGGGGAGAGAGAGAGGGAGGAAGGGAGGGAGGGAGGGAGGGAGGGAGGGAGAGAGGGAGGGAGGGAGGGAGGGAGGGAAAGGGAGAAAGACAGAAGACAGGATGATAATATACATGTATATATGTGCATACTTGTCTTGAACTGTAGTGTTCATGAGATTTGTACTTTTCATCCATGGCATGAAGAAAATGCTAAATGAATAATAAAAATAATATAATTATTAAAAAATTATTATCACAGCATGCATACATGTACATGTATAAAGTGTTTCGATACATTATTTTTAATTCTATTTTATTTCGTTTCTTACTTTGTCTGTGACAGTTCCAACCATAAAGCAAGCTTCATCTAGTAAAGCAATAATGCCAGAGTGAGGCTGTTCAACCAAGTCACAAATGATTTTATTATTGAAATATTCAATCTATAAAAAGAGAATAACTTGTAATTATCAGCTAAGAGATATGATCAAAAACACATCAAACTTTAATTACTACATGCATATTATTGATGCTGGGATACTAGAGCCTAATTCCATCAGAACTTTTTCAATTTCCTGTACTATAGCCCATGGTTTTTTCTAAAAAATGGCTCCAAAATCACCCTCAATTTTTATTACATTTTCTGATACATATTGATGTCCTTATGCTATGTAGAAAGTTTGAGCTGATTCCGACTTAAATTTTTCGAGTTACGACCATTTAAAAAAAAGAGCCAAAATCTGAAAAATACCCTGTACTATAGCCCATGGTTTTTTCCAAAAAATGGCTCCGAAATCACCCTCAATTTTTATTACATTTTTTGATACATATTGATGTCCTTATGCTATGTAGAAAGTTTGAGCTGATTCCGACTTAAATTTTTCAAGTTACGGCCATTTTAAAAAACGAGCCAAAATCTGAAAAATACCCTGTACTATAGCCCATGGTTTTTTTCTAAAAAATGGCTCCAAAATCACCCCCCAATTTTTATTACATTTTTTGATACATATTAATGTCCTTATGACATGTAGAAAGTTTGAGCTGATTCCAACTTAAATTTTTCAAGTTACGGCCATTTTAAAAAACGAGCCAAAATCTGAAAAATACCCTGTACTATAGCCCATGGTTTTTTTCTAAAAAATGGCTCCAAAATCAGCCCCCAATTTTTATTACATTTTTTGATACATATTAATGTCCTTATGACATGTAGAAAGTTTGAGCTGATTCCAACTTAAATTTTTCAAGTTACGGCCATTTAAAAAAACGAGCCAAAATCTGAAAAATACCACGTACTATAGCCCATGGTTTTCTCCAAAATATGACTCAAAAATCACCCCATAATTCTATTACATTTTCTGATACATAATAATGTCCTTATGCTACGTAAAAAGTTTGAGCTGATTCCAATCAAAATTTTTCAAGCTACAAGTACAATTATAAAAGTCTTTTTAACACACTAACTCATAAAACTGTCCTCATTCTCAATCAGAACTTACATGGACCCACTCGATCCCTTCCCTCTTGTACTCCTCCTGCTCTTGCTTGAGGACCAACTCAATAAAGAGCTGCTGGAGCTTCTCATTACAATAATTAATGCAAAGCTGCTCAAAGGAATTATTATCAAATATCTCAAACCCGTAAATATCAAGGACTCCAATGACAGTGCTGTCGTGCTTCCGAGTTATATTGACGCCAAGTTTGTCATTAATGTAACGGACTATCCATGTGAAGAGACGATCGTACATTGCCTAGAACAGAATAACAATAATAATTTAATACACAATTATATAGACGAACATGTACATGTACATATACATACAATACATTTATGTGTAGTGCTTTATCTTCTATTGTTCATGCTCAGTAAACTATCAAGATGGCTACCTTCGAAAATGGCTACCTTGGCTCAAGTGTACCTTATTATACCATAGAAGTGGAATATATTTTACTGCATTTATTATTTAATTTTTAAATCTTCAATTTTACAATTTACACGTGAGCAACTACATGTACATGTATAAATAAATTTAACTGGTTAATTTTTAATTTTATTTTTCCTGTCATTGTAAAATTAAAGTCACCTTCAAATATTTCCCTTCTATGGTATACATACATTTATTTATGAGTAATGAGTACCTTAGCAAATGCATCTCTGCTATAATAAGCTTGATCAGAAGAGTGTCTCTTAGACACGACCTCCATACGACTAGCAATGACACGAGAGACCAGGGCTCCTTCAAGGTTCTGTGGGTCGACAGCTAGGAGGCTGGATATGGTCTGGACCAGGTCGGGGGAAGTAATGACAGCACCTTCAACACCATCAATATCCTCATCACGAAACTGGAGATTGCCCTATTTCAGATATACATATGTATGAATAATAGTACAGTATATAAAAGTAACTTTGAATATTTACGTGTATATATACTGGCAAAATATTTTTTTTCAAATTTCACATTTTTAGCTACATTGTACATGCATGTTGCAAAAATTATAATCATAAAATCTGCATCTTCATTGCCAGCCCTCATGCAAGATTTGCAAAAATATTTAACCACAGAAATATAACTGGTACATGATGTATATATTACCGGATAGTGGGAAATTTTGGATGGAATTAAATTTGGTAAAATGGCATTTTGATAGTGATAGTAATTTGCCATAATAAAAACCTAGCTGCTATTTTGAGCCATTATACGCATGCTCAATGGCATGTGGCCACAAATTCACCAAATTAAAATCCGCCAATCACCTAAAATTTAGCAATTCGCCAAATTTTACTCCATCCAAAATTTCCTGCTATATGGTATATTTCTTTCATGAATTTCCTTACAAGATGGAGTATTGATGCTATCAGTTTCCAGATGGTTTCAATCTCGTTCACCGTAAGACCAAGAATCTTCAGAGCATTACGGACATTATCAAAATCCTTCTTATCATTCAACGAGTCAACCTAACAACAACAAAATGAATAAATAAATCAAGAAATAAATAAATCAATAAATAAATAAAAATTCATTACTTTGTGGGCGTCACCCTGATTAATGTAGTGATAACATTTGGGATCTTTCAACAAGGAGAGGGTTGTTAATTGTGCGGGGGCGGCACCAGATATTAACTGATAGAAAATGTGAAAGTTTCTCTCTCCCAACTGCTGGTGGATGACGCGAGACTATAATATAAATAAAGCAATATAATTTTTAATGATTGTCAAGTCTCAATTTTGCATAAAAATTTTACCTTCTCGAGGAGATAGTTTTCAATATGGCCGCCGGTCGGGTCGCCTTTGAAGTCAAAATTGATGTCCATGTACTTTCCGAATCGAGACGAGTTATCGTTCCTGTTTGTCTTAGCATTACCAAACGCTTCCATGATCTGATTGGACCTTATCAGCATGTTAGTGACTCTGAGAGGAATGAGAATACAGAGGAGTAACGTTATCATGCATTGCTATACTCACATACTCCTAATTATTGTAAGATATTGCTATCATGTGTCATTACAATTACTAATTTTGATTAAAGCAAGATAATACGTTACATATTTTACACATAATTTAATATTCCATTATAGTATAAAAATCACACAAATAAATATAAAGATGTTGTAGGTTATCAAAGTGCATGCATAGTCAGCTATGTGTGTATATATACATGTGTATACATGCATGCACAATAAGTAAATTTACAATAAAATAACATGTTACTATAGCTCCATACCTTTCAATTTCAGCTCTTTGAGAGCGATTTGTTATCTCGCATATATAACGCATAATAATCTTGCTAGCCTCTGTCTTTCCAGCACCACTTTCACCTAAAGAGAGAAAAGGAGTGGTAATATAAGAATAGGAGAAGATGGAGGGAAATGGTCATGATGCATACATTAGTTTTACCTAAGGAGCAGATCATGTCATCAAGGGGAGAAATCCCACACATACAAAATAACACCAGTGAGAATAACTTAATCCCTTACTCTCTCCTTACTCCCTTACCAACAAACACACACACACACAAATACAGAGAGAGAGGAGAGAGAGGGAGAGAGAGAGAGAGAGAGAGAGAGAGGGAGGGAGAGAGAGAGAGAGAGAGGGAGGGAGAGAAAGAGAGAGGGAGGGAGAGAGAGAGAGAGAGAGGGAGGGGAGAGAGAGAGAGAGAGAGAGAGAGAGAGAGAGAGAGAGAGAGAGAGAGAGAGAGAGAGAGAGAGAGAGAGAGAGTGAAATATCTAAAACTCCCCTCTTCTCTCAACTGACAAGAGAAATATAAACAACAATAAATAATAACAACAACAGTTTGGTGTGAATTTGTGTCTGAACACATCAAAAACATTGGGACAACAGGTGCACAGCATAACTTCCTAACTTTCTCTCATTTTTACAATAATTTACTCCAAACCACAGGAACTTGGCAAGATAGAATATGGCTACAACTCCATAGTACATGTGCAGTACATAGGAAAATGGGTGTGCTTTATCATCAAACAATAAATATAGCAGAGACAATTATGAGCATTTACTTACAAGTACTTTATTGCATCATTACATGCACTAACAAGCAAACAAATGGTATAAATTGAATAAAATGCCAATTTAAGACTTGTGGGTCATATAATTACATGTACATGCATACCTCCCCTCCATATTGAGACTAGGCTAATAGGCGGGAGAGGACAAACAAGAAACAGCTGGGCATGAACAGGATCATGGAGACGTGTACATTATTAAACGCAAAATCATGAAGTACGTGTGGCTATAGAGATATGACTAAAATAGGTAAGAAAGCTACATGGGACATTAGCCAGGCAGTATGAGGTGTTGGCTTACTATTAGGATAAGAAGCCAATGAGGGAATGGTAAGTGTTTGACCACATGAGAGTGAGACTGGATTGTATGTGCATACAAAATAATGAGTGTATATGTGAATGCTAATTATTAGTATAAGAAAGAGAGAGAAAGCATACAAAGTATGTGACTGGAGGAAGGAGAAATTATATGTATACATGAAAGCTGATGGAAGCTACACATAAACAACAGGAGGGGCAAAGAAAGACCATACACATAAAAAACAAGTACCAAAGACAAGACAAAAAGTATGCAAAATAGCAAAATAAATATTGATAAAGATACCACTTTAGTACTCCCATGTAGTAATTATTATCATCATCAATAGTCCCTCCCTCCCTCCATGTCCACATCATACCTGATATGACAATACAGCTGTTGTGCCCTGTTCTCTTCATGTTACGATAGACGGCATCAGAGAGGGCGAATATGTGCGGCTCCCTCTCGTACATCTCTCTCCCTTTGTAATCCTGTATGTACTGTCTGTCGTATATGTTCATCGGGCGATAAGGATTCACGGACACGACTACTTCACCAATGTAAGTGTATATCTTTCCTTTCTTGAAGCGTAACTGGAGGTTGTTCATGAAGGTAGACATTGAGATGTCATCGAGGAGAACGAAATCGTTCTTGCCCACTTCTTCAGCATTATAGCCAGCCATTGTTGGCAGTGGGTGATAGATAAGCCTGCAGAGAGGAAGCAGGCATAAAACATTGGCAAATGATGACAATACAAACCTTTACAGCTGGAAACAATGGAGATAAAAGAGGATAAGGTTTAGAGTGCTACAGTCGGCAATAAAAGTGGAGTTGCTAGTCTAGTTCTCAGCTGGTAGCTCTACAAAAGAAAACAAAACAGCTCGTTAGCTCCCTCTCTTTTCTTGTTTTTACCAAAAATGTCGGGGTCATCAAAGGGAGGGGGCGGAGAAGAGCAGCACGTGGGGGCGTACCGCTGTCTAATTAACAGCATGGCTACCGTTCCTTCTTCCAGAGAATTAGTGTTAAAGCTTTACCGCCAATCCCTTCGTCATGCCGACAAGCTTGTTTACACGGACAAGAGCTTCTACAAGATGAGGTTGAGAAATGAATTCCAAAAGGCAAAAGAAGATAGAGGGAAAAGATCCCTTCGCGACATAAAAGTAGGCGTGGCAAACATTACAATTTATAACTATAATAATAATAATTTTTTTAGTTATTAATTTTTTTCTAAAATACTTTATAATACATTAATACACATAATTATTTTTGTTCTTTGTTTAGAAATTACAGCATTTTGTTACGAATGATTTTGGAGGCGTGATATAGAGATCATTTATCCTAGTACAACAGTAGACTGATGGTGAATAGGATCCCAACTGTGTCTTAGTCTCTTCTTGCTCGTTCCCTCTAATGCTGTGTACTGTCTCGCATGTTTCTCTCCTTCCTTAAATAAGCTATATTAATAAAGAAATTACCAGTTCACATTACTACTGATATGTTATGATTAGATCATGTTATGTCCATATAAAATCACAATAATTAAAGTTAGATCTATACTCATTCAGTTATGCATGCATACAACCTACTTTGCAGATAAGTAGCTTCCTTTAATTGAGTCTCGGAGCTGAGCAGTGTGCTGTGCAATCATAAGAGACTAGAGGAGAGGAGAACAAGTACTTTGTATTGCTATAACTATTATATATTACTTGTGATAGTTCTTCAGCTTTTTGCTTAGCAATGCTATCCATTCTCTCATACTTAGTGGCAATTTCTTTTACACTGTACTCTCTGGCTTTTTCTTCCTCCCTGCTTAGTTTCTTCATTGCTTTGCTGTGATTCATCTCCTTCTCGTGTCGCTTCTGTTGAAGATGGTATTTCTTTTGAAGGAGCTGTCTCTGGCTTGCTTCAGATGCTTTAGTGATGCTCTACAAGGTATAAGAAAATTAAAGACGGACTAAAACATGATTTTAAAAGTACAGTTCTGTTCTGTTTGTCAACATGATGACACCAGTCTTCAAGCTCAGCTGCCATGCTTGCTGTTTTTAATCTGACTTGAATCTCCTTCAATCTCTGCTTTTCCCTAAAGCATATATACATAACAATAGCTCCTAATGGTAATTGAGTAAGGAATACACATTCACATAACAAAAACATCATTTTGATAATAAACATGCACAGTACACAGCATCAATAGCTCAATTTTTAATTGCTGTGTGCATGCAAAGCTAATAAGCATACTTTCTCCATCTTTCTTTATCTCTTCGTATGCTTTGCTGCATTTCTATGTTGGATTCTGCTTTCTCATCCTTGTGTCTCACCATTGCTTTTAAACGTTCTTCTTTTAGCCTGAAAAAGCAGAATAATCATTGAGTAAAAATAATAATTATAATAATTAAAGTCAAACCTGCTCTCTTCCTCAAGGAATGATTTGTTTTTCTTAAATTCTGTCTCCTTGGTAGCATTTCTCATTTTTATATTCTGCAATTAAAATAATTTCACTCTTTAATTAATTAGCATCTCCTGCTAAATAAACTCCACCCAATGGCCCAATGCTAAGACTTTTACAATCAAGATTTACTCACAAAATGTTTCGTCTCATCTAATATTTCTTTGTTTGATAATGCTCTCTCTTGTTTGAGTGAATTAGACAAACAGTTGATTCCTCCAGACAACTATAAAAAATAATATAAATAATAATAATAATAATAATAATAGCGATAAATAACAATAGAAATAAAATTATTAATAACTCTCACTTCTTGCTCCCTCCTTATCATAAGACCATTAAGTATTTTTTGATCCTACGATTAACATAAAAAATACCATTTTACATTTTTGCATTACTTTGACTGGTATATAATGTGCAGCAGTTGCTGGTGGGTGCTGAACAAATTGGAAGAACTCGGACTCCCTGCCGGTCGAGTCTTTAAGTAATGATGAACCAACTGGTGCAGGCTGAGTGATGCTTCTTGAAACTCCGTTTGAGTCTGATTGCATGTTACTGGCTATCCTGTGTCTTTCCTTCCTTGCTTTCAGTAGCTTAGCTAAAATTAGCAATTTTTATATGCATGGGCATGGTAATTAATCCCTCACTCCTTCTTTCTCTCTCAAAGTTTTCATAAGCAGCAGTCAAATAAGAGCCTTTTAATGGTCTCGTTTGCTCTGATACACTAAACTCGTCCAATGACTGAGGCAGCAATTCTGAGGGCTGCAAAAAAATGAAAAAATCAGTAGCATCATTTGTCACATGATGATGATTGCTGCTGTACTTTTAGTCCCAAGTTTGCACAGGCTCGTAAAGATCTCGGGCTGGTTAGCACATATCGAGTCTCCTTAAACTTTGGGTGCTCAAAATTGAAAAGAGTAATCTTCTCCTCACTCAAACTCGCCATATTGAAGACATGTCAAGAAAAGGTGGGGCTGAAATTGTTTACAATGACACGGAGATTGATCCGGATATTAAAATATTCAAATTTCCGTTTATCTCCGTACAAATCTACGTGCACGCACACGTGCTGCCACGTGGCTAAAATTTATTACTAAAAACCTATAAAAAGTATAAAATTTATTTTTTGTTCAATTTAAATTCAATCCAAATCCCAAAATGATCACTAGGGAAACAGCCCAGGCCCTTTAATCTCTCCCCACCAATCAGACTAAAGCTATTGGGTGCTAATGGCCCTTCCTGTGGACAAAAATAAACTCTGTCACAGCGTACAACAGGTACATTGGTGTTCCACGTTTTTTTCTCCTTAGAGTTGGAGCCTGTAGCCTCCCAAACATCAACCACACCTTCTGGTAGTCCAATTTCTGAGATTTCATTGTCCTTAGTGTTGAGATCACCTCCAAAGACACAAGAGACAAATCCGTCATTTTTATGCTTGTCTGTCATTATCTTTAGTGCCTCCCGTATCTGCTTCTTTCTCTCAATTATATTTCTGTCCTGATCGAGGCTCTCTATGTGCGATGTAAGAAAGTACAATTTGCTACCGTGGACACAGACTGGTAGCCCAATCAGGTATCGGCCCATCCCTGAAGTTGGAAACTCAACGACTTCCTCTCTTTCGGAGAGTGGCGTGATCTCTGAGGATTTACGAACCAGCAAACCATTGAAGTAGTGACATCTAGGGACGCCACAGTAGCATGCATAGTCCTCTTTTAGCTTGCTTGTGATCATTGGCCATGTTGAATGGACCACTTCTTGTAGATATACTACAGTAGGAGAGCGAGAGAGGATATAATCACATATGTACTCTGTTCTCTCTTTGAGGTGTCCTGCATTAAGGCCATAGATGTTCCAATTCAAAAGAGTAATGTTGGCAGAATCAGCCATAGCCCTGATTGCTGATTTATTGGAGGTGGGTGGGGTTCGTGCATAATAATTTATTAATTTTTAATTATGGCTATTTTCTAGATCTACCACAGCAGCACCAGCATGGGAGCAAATATAGCAAAGGAAGCTGCAGAAGAGGAGAGTGGATCTGGTCTCAATCTAAAAGTCCTTTCTTGGAATATTGACGGTCTTGATGGAAGAGACACTATTGCCAGAGCTGATGCTGTCTGCTCTGTTATATTAGAAAAGAAACCTCATATTATATTCCTCCAAGAAGTAGTGCCTCAGACTCTTAAACGACTCCAGTCAAAACTAGGCTCGTATTACACCATTCATATAAGCCACAAGCTAGTATTCCAGTACTTTCCCGCTATACTAGTCACTAAAGTGAGCAGAAAGATAGTCCCTGATGGAGACGTGGGCATGTTTGATTTCCCTGGCTCAACAATGGGCCGCCATCTCCTCCAGCTCTTTGTGAGGGTCTGTGGTGTCCCAATGGCACTCTACACTTCCCATCTTGAGAGCATGAAGGATTTCTCGGGAGAGAGGAAAGACCAGTTGTCTCAGTGTTTTGAGTTTGTTAAAGAACAGAACGAGCTCTTCTCACGTACTTGCATATTCGGTGGAGATCTAAACCTCAGAGACGAAGAAGTGAAATCCATGGGTGGGCTTTTACCAAAAATGGTCGACATGTGGGAAGCATGTGGGAGCTCTGAGGAAGACAAGTACACGTGGGACATACAAGCCAATGACAATATTGACTGGAAGTATGCCAATAAACCAAGGTGTAGGTTTGATAGGCTGTACCTCTGTCCTGCTGATGGCCCATTTGTAAAGGCTCTTAGTTTTGAGTTGGTTGGAAAAGAGAGATTGCCTCAGATTGGGAGGTTCCCTAGTGACCATTGGGGCATGTGGTCTGTCTTCCAAGTGTCTGAGATTGTCTCCAGTGAATAGCACATATATAAACTGAAAACATCTATAATACATTGATTAATTATTGCGATTTTTAGCTTTTGTTTTATTAACTGTAACATAGATCTATGATTACACTTATGATCATTTATTATCATTATTCATTGCTCTACTTTTAAAAATGGCTGCTAGTACAGTAAAGTTGCCTAAGATAAGAGAAGTTAGAGCTTATTCAAAGAAAGAGTCAGCAGATCAAGGTACTGTGTATACCATATATGTATGGTGTGTAGATACATAATGACACATCCATGTTTGTGCTTGCATTGTGTTGCATGATGTGACAATGTTACAACCTTTTCTTCTTCACCCCCTCTTTTCCCTCCTAATTTATTAGGTGCAGACTGTCACGATGTGGATGATAAACACTGGATCAATGGCTACCCGACACCAATAGCTAATCCAATGACACCTCACCCTCTCTATCGGGCCCAGAGGAAGCTATGGGGGATTAATGCAATGGGGAGTGTAGTGGTTGAGGTGGAGAGTGAAGATGGCACTATAGGAGTGGGTAAGTAGCTTGTTTACCTCATCAATGTGCATATTGCCTATTGTATCTTTTACCTGCATGTTGTTAAGCAGAATGAAGCCCAGGGATTGTGTATTATCAAATACTGTATAGCGGGTATATTCTGTTCGAGTTTAATTTTGTTCTTTTCGTTCTCATTCCTTGTGGAACGAACATTTTCTAAACGAAAAGGACGTTTCCTCAATGCCACGTGTGCAAAATGGCTGCTCAGAACGAAAATAAAACGAATGAAAATTTCTAATCCTGCTTAGAACGAACATTTTTCCAGACGAAATATACCCGCTATACGGTAGTGATTGGTTTATTCCTCTTAATGATGCTTTATTATTATCATGTACAGGTGTATCAATTGGTGGTCCTCCTGCTTGCTATATCGTTGAGAATCATCTGAGTCGATTCATTGAAGGACAAGTCAGTTGATTTATCATAAGATATTTTGCATTTTATTATTTTTGGAGAATAGGATCCAAGCAATGTAGAGCTCATGTGGGATCAGATGTTCCGAAGTACTCTTAACTATGGGAGGAAGGGACTACCATTGTGAGGATAGGGATAGATCATTAATGAATTAAGTCTCTTTATTAATATGCAGGCAAGCAATCAGTGCTGTTGATTTAGCTATTTGGGATCTCCTTGGTAAGCTGAGGAAAGAACCAGTTTATTCATTGCTGGGAGGGAAGACAAAGGTATGCTCCACCTGCTCTTACCTCTAGTCATATCCTGTTAGGATTACTTACCTGTTTACTGCACCTCCTCAAGGCCTGATAATGCTAAAGTGATATGTCATGATTTATACATGTACTCATGTGTTGTTTAATAACATAGGATTTTGGCTTTGTCGGGGCTAAGATACCTTGTGCTTATGGTCCCAGTGAAGGTGTTGAAGGTTTTAAAAAGAATGTAGAACTATTCCAAGATGCCCGTGAAAGAGTTGGGCCTGATTTCCCTCTCATGTAAGTAGATCTAGTGCAGTGCCTTTGTCATGTGATTGTTATAGGCTGGACTGCTACATGGCATTGACAGTTCCTTATGCAGTGAAGGTATTCAGATCACATTAATAATATACTGCCTCATGTGATGCTTTATATTGTAGTTAGGCAAGGCACTGGAGCCTTTTAACTTGAAGTGGATAGAGGAATGTCTTCCACCAGATGATTATACTGGCTATAGAGACTTGAAATTGGCACTTACTGGTACTACACTAGTAACTACTGGAGAGCATGAATATACAAGGTATAGCGACTTGAAATTTGTTTTTTATAATAAGTCCTAAATTAAAAAAAATTTAATACTGATCAGAATTAGTTTGAAATTATACACAACATAAATACATTTATATGCATCAGAAAATTTTTTCTAGCAATTCTTGACAAAATTTGGCCCATTTTTGAGTAGCTTTTAAAAATTTGTAAAAATTTGGAATCAGCTCAAATTTGCTACACAACATAAGAACATGTATATGTATCAGCAAGAGTAAAAATGAGAAATTTTCTCATAGTCATTTTTGGTGAAATTTGGCCAAAGACCTTATCCTTATATAGTACATGATCCTTAGTTCATTTTTGGAGTGACTTTTAAAAACTTATGAAAGTCTAATTTTAATGTAGTGAAGGATATTTTGTAAAAAATTCCATTTGGAGGATAATTCTCAATTTTATTTTCAGATGCATATACATCATATAGCATATACACAGAAGCACATACATGCAGCCAAACTATTCGAATATAATTAACTTTATTTGAATTTTATCATATCATGTTCATAGGTATGGCTTTCGTCAGCTCCTTGAAGGAAACTGTGCTGATATTATTCAACCTGACATAACATGGCTTGGGGGAATCACCGAAGTACATTACTAGAACTTGTGGTGTAAAGTAATCCATTTTTAGGCTAGACGTGTTGTGGCACTGGCTTCATCACATGACATACCTGTGATTCCACACGGATCCAGTGTATATTCTTATCACATGCAATATGCCTTCCCTAACTGCCCATTGGCTGAATACATTAACCTCAGCTGTAATGTAAGCCTGCATTCATATGAACAGTGTATTACATAGTGTCATTATACAGTCTGATAAAATAGTCCCTTATTTTGGAGGGCTATTCCCTGATGAGCCACTACCTGAGAATGGAGTCATTCAACTCCCTGACAGGTAAAGCTAAAGATAACTTTTTCTAAAGATTGTTTTTACTATGCATTTCATGAGAAATCAAAGATAGTTGTTATTATAAACTGTGAGGCACTAAGTAAATACCAGATAATTGGGCATTGTTGCTTTTGTAAAGATTGCTTTCAACATGCATTTCATGGGTAATGAGAGATACTGGTAATTGTTATTATAAATCATTGTTTGATCCCAATAAGTATATACTGCATTGTAAATGAAATGATGAGAAACAGTTTGGCAGTAATGATAGTGAATTGATCATGTGATTGTGTGTATTGAATTACAGGCCAGGCTTTGGAGTGACGCTGGATAAAAGTGGGCTCACTAGACCTTATCCTAGATCACCTGATCAGGTATGCACTCCTTATTACAAATATGTTCATTGAGCAGCTCTCCCTCTCTCTCTCTTTCTGTTGCTCTTTGCACATAATATCAGGTTAAAGTGCAGTTTGAGAGGAATGCAGCTGCTCGTCCTCTTACTAAACCTGTTATGCCACTTTAGCTATGCGTGTATGGAATATTTTCTTATGCTGCAAATTAAAGTACTGTTATTGCTACTTTTAGCTTTATGTAAATTATAAATCCAGTTATGTATGACAGCAAAAACTTTTATTGAGATAAAAAATGATCCTAAATAAAACCAAAACACAGTATAAAAAAAGACTTATATGAATTAAATCAGCCTAGCCTATTGTGTTTATCAAAAGCAGCAGGGGAATGTGAGGATCTTCATTGCAAATCAAACTCTTCATATTCTTCATTCTTGGCATCAATCAATTCGTTGAAATCAGCCTTTTCCTTTTCATTGGCAAATGGACCTGATTGGCACCCAGTTGGCTTGCATGTCTGACCTTGTTCACAGCAGCCAGAGAGACTATGCACACAAGGGACAATACAAGATTTATATGATGACTCATGAGAAGCAGAGAGCCTATCTTCTTCATTGGTTGTTGGTGGACCCAATACTGGAACTTTGGAGTAACACCCAGTTCGAAGACATACCTCATTAAAGTTGCAGCAGCCATTTCGATCATGCACACAAGGGATATAGCATGATGATTTGAGAGGAGCAGAGAGCCTATCTTCTTCATTGGTTGTTGATGGAGCAAATCCTGGTGGAAGATTTAAGTCCGGATTTGGGTGACACCCAGTTCGAAGACATACCTGGTTAGAGTTGCAGCAGCCATAATTTTGATCGAAGCTACAAGGGATGACACATTCTGATGTGAGAGGAAGAGATTGCCTAGTGACACATGAAGTGAGACCACATGCAGCACAGCACTTTCTCAAATGACTGCACCATATATAACCACGTTGGGGACATGATATAAAACTAGATCTAACATCATCTTCTAGTTCAAACGATTGCTTGACTTTCTTCCTAGAGTGCTTAGTGAGACATGAAGTTAGACCACATGCAGAACAGCACTTTCTCAAATGACTGCACCATATATAACCATCGGGACATGATATAATACTAGATCTAACATCATCTTCTAGTTCAAACGACTGCTTGACTTTCTCCCTTTTTCCTGTAGCAACTGCTTGATAGTCATAGCAGTACCCATTTTGACATCTCTCTGTTTCACAACATGTCTCACTCATCTTACACCAAGTGTAACCAGGTTTGCATTCTGCAGTAATCTTATTATCACGAGTATGAACAACTGGGCTGCCATGAGTGAAGCTAAAGACCATCACAGCACAAATGAGAGCTAGACTGATCTTCATATCCATTTCTGTATACATTGCTTGCAAGTATATGCGTGTCTCTCTCAGTGCCACCTTAAATAAGGTGTATATCTGTAATGGAATTAGAATATTTATTTAGATCATACTTTTGATTAATGATAAGGTCTTCACTCCTAAACTAGCACGCAATGAGATCATCGTGACCTAAGAATAAGTCTTCACAACTTTGGTGCTTCAATTTGCTTTGTGCATGACTTAAAGATATTCTTAATTTTTTGTTCATCATGAAGTAATTTAAAGGACAATTTAATTACCCTCTCACTAATATTCTGTTTATTTGACCTCCCATTAGTATAGAGGGTTGTTTACTGCTAAAGGCTCTGAGAAGATAATCTTAGAAATGCAAACCAGTGTATAAACAGGTGTTCTTGTGATGAAGTGAACTTTCAATGTTGTTACAAGCATTTGGACACATTATATATTATATATATATATATAGTAATGTGCATACTTGTATTGATGATTATGTGCTTTGTGGTATGCTGCATGGGCATCAACATGGCATGTTGCATAAAAATCTTTTTTTGCAATTGATTTTTCTTTGCCTTAATAAAGACTTGAGCAACAAAGTTGTCAGTTGATCAAAGTTTCATGCAACATTGATGAGCACAGTGCATTTTATTGACAAATTTAAGGAACAAAACTATTATCAAAAAATCAACAAGAAAATAATGGCCTATTTATACATCACTGTTAAACAAAAAGTTTGTCTCTAAAATGTTAATATCCACTTTCGTTGGTCATACATTAATTTTTAGTCTTCTTAGTACGTCCAAGAGGGATTTTTGTTTGAAGTACTGCAAAACCATCCTTTGCATCTGGATCACAATGGACCCCATCACTGTCACAGGAGTAACCAGAAGGACAGCATGCATCATTACTACAGCAGACACCGTTAGATTCAGGACAGCAACCAGTAGGACAGCATGTTTCACCATCACGACAAGACTTACCACCGCCACAAGGAATGTCTGTGACATTGTTGTCCTTTCTTGGAAGGCCTGATGAAGATAGCATTAGAGTGACACCTTTCTTATGTGCATCTTCCCTGATACAGGAGGTTGGAGTGCAGGTGTACCCAGAGGGGCAGCAAGTACCATCACCACAGCAGACACCATTAGATGTAGGACAGCATGGCTTTGGTTCATTAGAGCAGCATGTGTCACCATCAGGACAGTAACCTCCTTCGCAAGGTATATCTGTCAGTGTGGGTTGTGAGTTTAGTTTCATCTTTTCAGCACCATGAATTTTTGGTAGAACAAAAGATGACAACTCGGCATCTTTCCCAATACAGAAAGGTGGACTGCAAGTGGTTCCAGAAGGACAGCAATGGTTATCACCACAGCAGACACCGTTAGATGTAGGACAGCAGGGCAATGAATCACCAGAGCAGCATGTGTCACCATCAGGACATGTGCCTCCATTGCAAGGTATATCTTTTACATAACTGACCATTCTTGCATTGGTCAAACAAATTGCAGCTAAGACAAGAGAAAGAATAGCAACCTTCATTGTCTGCTTTCAATTGTGAATCGACTTAAGAAATAGGTTTGCCAGCTACCCTTATCGTAACTAACTTCAAGCAATTCGACAGGTCGTTTATATATATAAACGCATCTTATGAATATACTTAAAGTCTACATGCACAGCAATAGTTATTTTCTGTGAAAGAGTTATAAAATGCAACATGTGACAATAATGGGTGGACTGAGGTAATACCAGGGACTTTCAATGTTATGACAAGAGCTTTAAGACACACCACTAGCAGATAGAATACCATATAATGCTACTGTTTTTCACAACATTCTAGCTAGTACTTTAAAATTATATGCTATGCACATACAATAGATCTACTTAGCCAGTTTTTTATGACAGCTATATTTTATACACTGTGATAGTTTTTGTTTATTATCATGAGTCTACCTGTATGCATTATGCATAGTGTGTATGATCATACTAGGATTGAACTCTGTGTGTGTGTAAACAATGATCCACACAGGGTCAGAATGATTTTAAATTTCTTTTATTGGGCAAAAAACTTAGCAAAAAATAATGGCCTATTGATACATTATTGCTAATTAAACAAAAGTTTGTCTCTAAAATGTTAACATCCACTTTTGTTGGACTCACACTCAGTAATTTTTATCCTTCTTGCGTGGACAGGAATCTCCATTGCAAGGAATGTCTGTGACATTGTTGCCCTTTCTTGGAAGGCCTGATGTAGATAGCATTCGAGTAACACCTTTCTCATGTGCATCTTCCCTGAGACAGGAGTCTCCACTGCAGGTGTACCCAGAGGGGCAGCAAGTACCATCACCACAGCAGACACCATTAGAATATGAGCAACATGGTTTAGGTTCATTGGGACAGCATGTGTTGTAACCATCAGGGCATTCTCCTCCATTACATGGAATGCCAGTCAGGGAAGATTTTTGGTAATGCTTCATCTTTTCAACTGTACGAGACTTGGATAGAATCACTGATTCATAATGAGCGTCGTCCTTGATACAGTAAGGTGGACGGCAAGTGTAGCCAGAGCGACAGCATTTGCCGCCACCACAGCAAACACCATTAGGTGTAGGACAGCATGGCTTTGCATCACCAGAGCAGCACGTGTCCCCATCAGGGCATGTACCTCCATCGCAAGGTATATCTTTTACATAACTGACCATTCTTGCATTGGTCAAACAAATTGCAGCAAAGACAAAAGAAAGAATAGCAACTTTCATTGTCTGGTAATAAAGACTTTCAATTGTAAATCGACTTAAGAAATAGGTTTGCTAGCTACTCTTAAAGCAACTAACTTCAAGCATTTCGACAGATCGTTTATATATAAATCTACATGCATGTTATGAATTAAGTCTACACAGCAATTGTTATTTTCTGTCAAAGAGTTATAGAATGCAACTGGTGTTAATAATGGGGTAGACTATCAAGGACTTTCAATGTTATGACAAGAGCTTAAGACAGACCATTTCCATAAAGTTACTGTTTTTCACAACATTCTATCTAGCTTGTATTTTGAAATTAAATCCTATGCACATACAGTACATCTATTAAGCCAGTTTTTCATAACAGCTATTGTGTATATGCTGTGATAGTTTTTGTTTACTATTATGAGTCTACCTGTATGGATGTGTTTTGTGTATGTATGATGAGTGTGATCATATTCGAATTGAATTGCATGTGTGTAAATAATTCAATCGATCAACACAAGGTCGGAATGATTTTAAAACTCCTTTTATAGGGCAGCAAAATTATGTTTGTTGTATATTTAATACACCTATTATATATACTTTGGTAAAACAGCAACTGCTTTGTGGTTACTTTGAGCTAATTGCAGCTCTGTTCCTGAAATAGAACTCATGCAGTTCTATTTCAGGCAATGCAGTGGTGTAAATCAAAATAGTTGATCTATCATGGTAAAAGTAAACTTTAACATGCCCCATGCCCCACCTATATTACTATTTATAAGTATTTTTAACAAAAAAGAATATATGTGGCTGAGAGTAAGTATAATGACCAAACTCATGCCTTCTTGTACATATAAGAAAACTGCTCATGATACATTATTACTAAGGAAAAGTTTGTCTCTACAGTTTCATTGGACTTGCATTAATCTTTATTCTTCTTGGTATGTGGGAGAAGGATTTTTCTTTGAGGCACAACATTTAAACCTTCCTTTGCACTTCGCACACAATCAACCCTGCTGCAGACGTAACCAGTAGGACAGCAAAATCCGTTATAGCAGCAGACGCCATTATAGTCAGGACAACAACCATCAGGGCAGCATGTATCACCATCAGGGCAGTATCCAGTGTTGCAAGGAATGATTGTGACATTGTTGCTCTTTTGTGGAATGTCTGATGAAGACAGCATTAGAGTAATGTGATTATCTTCTTCCCTGACACAGTGAGGTGGACTGCAAGTGTAGCCAGAGGGACAGCATTTGCTATCACCACAGCAGACAGCATTAGGTAAAGGACAGCATGGCTTTGCATCACCAGAGCAGCATGTGTCACCAAGAGGACATGAACCATTATCACAAGGTATATCTTTTACATAACTGACCATTCTTGCATTGGTCAGACAAATTGCAGCAAAGAAAAAAGAAAGAATAGTGACCTTCATTGTCTGAGACTCTTTTAATTGTAAATCGACTTAAGACTAGGTTTGCAGCTAGTAACTAACTTCAAGCACTTAGGCTCCTTCAACTGAAATATAGTGTGTGTTATGAATATACTGAAGTATACTACCATATTACTAGGTAGTTTATTTATTTTCTGTGGAAATGCAACAGGTGCATAGCAATGGGTGGACTTTGTGGTATATAGGGGATTCTTAACATTATAACAAGAACTTTAAGGTACACCACTTACCACAAACCCATAAAGAGAGCTAACAGTACATGCAATATGGTGATTTTTAATAGAAAATGTTAGATTTATGCTTGTATACATGAATAAAAGTGCAAATAAAGTTGTATCACTTGTATAGAAAACAAACTGGAGTTTTTCATAATAGCTAGTCTACGCTGTCATATAGTTTATTATTATGAATATCCATAGAAATGCTTTGCCCAATGTACACCTGTGCATGTATGGATATGATGCTACCCATACATGGAGAATCATGTGACATGCTAGTATAAACTATTACAATAGCTGGAATTGCTCTATAGAATAACAAACTTGTTTCTCTTTTGGTACCAAACTAATAAACTCTTGCTGCCCACCCACTGGCCATAATATTATAAACTTGAAGTATTTACAACAAAATTGTATCCTTAAGAAAAAAGCAACAAATTATACTAGCAATGAATTGAGACTGAATCACAATAAATTATTAATAAGGAGTATAATGCATGTAGCAATATGGGGAGAAAACAAATTTATACAGCAATAGCAACATATAATGACAGCAAGCTATTGTCATGATACTTACAGGAGAGGCCTCTTGTAGCTCATCCTTGTAGGAGGGATGGTGTAAAGGAATCCTTTGGATTTGTCTGTACATGTTCCATCATCAGGGTTACATGCATAATCAAAAGGACAGCAATGCTTCTTGTCATCACAGCAGACAGCATTCGGAAAAGGGCAGCAACCATAATTGCCTTCAGACATCAAGCAGCACGTGCTGTTACTAGAGCACTCCTTCTCCTCGTGGCCTGGAACAGAAGGACACACAACATTAACGACGACTGGTTTCTTCATACTCCCAACATGAAGTAATGGTTGATGCTTTGCTTCTGAGACCCTGCAGGTATGGCCTTCAAGATCGCAAGTTGTGCCACTAGGACAGCAGTGGATCTCATCAGCACAACAGGTAGCTTTAGGTGAAGGACAACAACCAAACGAATTAGACTTTGCTTTACAGCAAGTGTTATTGTCAGAGCAAACCGTATCATCAGGACATTTTATATCATCCTTTACTTGAGTAGACACTGACATCATTTTCTTTAGTATTGGTATGACAGATGCTTCTTTTACACACGTGCCTTTTGCCACGTCACACGAGTAACCATTTGGACAGCAATGTATCCCATCGCCACAGCAATTAGCATCAGTGAGGTTACAGCAACCATAGCGTCCATCTTTAAGAAGACAGCAAGTCTGATCATTTTTACACGATGTATTGCCATCGCTACAAGTGACATCCTTTACCTTATTCTTAATGAGAACTGCTTCAATTTGTATAAAGGAATCCTGCCTATTACAGGAGCCATCAGAATTGCAAATGTAACCACTTGGACAGCAATGCTTCATATCAGAGCAGCAGGTAGCTTGAGGTAACTCACAGCAGCCATACTTTCCTGTATCGGTCTTACAGCATGTATTAATATCAGAGCATTCACTTTGACCATCAGGGCAGACATTTTCTTTGACTTTACTATTATACAGAGGCTGAAAGACTTTGTGTAAGGCTGAGAATACAGGGGCTTCCTTGACACAGGTACCATTACTTGCATCACATGAGAAACCATTAGGACAACAATGGGTTTGATCAGCACAGCAAACAGCATTAGCCAAAGGGCAGCAGCCATATCCTGCATCACCTTTACTGCAGCAAGTGCTACCATCAGGACACTCATTCTTTCCATTAGGGCATACAACCCCTTTTAATTTAGTAGGTGAGCCCAACGTTGGAAGCTTCTTCATCATTGGTATAACAGAGACCCCCTTAGTACAAGTATGATCAGCTGTATTACAAGAAAAGTCTTTAGGGCAGCAATGGACTTTATCAGCGCAACAGACAGCATTAGGTTGAGGACAGCACCCGTACTTATCTACACCAGTTAGACAACATGTATTATTATCAGGACAGCTTCCCCCATCAGGACAGTCAACTGTATTGAGTTTCAAAACTGCCAGAGCTTCATAGACTTTCGAGTCTCTCTTGCAAGTACCATCGTTCTCGCACGTGTAGCCATTAGGACAGCAGTGAATTTTATCAGCACAGCAAACAGCATCTGCTCTAGGACAGCAACCATAGCTACCAGATTTCAATTCACAACAAGTATTGTCATCAGGACACTCCTGCCTCCCATTAGGACAAACCACATTTTTAACTTTAGTTGGTGACTTCAAGAATGACAGTTTCTTGATCATTGCTTTAGCGGAGTCTCCGTAAAAACAAGTCCCACGAGCTACGTCACATATCTCTCCTGAGGGACAGCAATGGATTCCATCAGAGCAACAGGTAGCATCAAGATAAGGACAACAACCATATTTATAACCACTTTCTCGACAACAAGTTTGACCATCAAGACAAACTCCACCATCAGGACACTTAACTGAATCAAGTTTCACAACTGCCAGTGCTTCATAGACTTTCGTGTCTTTCTTGCAGGTACCATCGTTCTGGCACGTATAGCCATTAGGACAGCAGTGAGTTTTATCAGCACAGCAAACAGCATCTGGTCTAGGACAGCAACCATAGCTACCAGATTCCAATTCACAGCAAGTATTGTCATCAGGACACTTCTGCCTCCCACCAGGACAAACCACATTTTTTACATCAGATGGTGACCTCAAGGATGACAATTTCTTCATCATTGGTACAACAGAGACCCCTCTAGTACAAGTACCATCAGCTACATTACAAGAATAGCCTGAAGGACAGCAATGGACTTTATCAGCGCAACAGTTAGCATTAGGTTGAGGACAGCACCCATACTTATTGTCACCAGTTAGACAACATGTATTATCATCAGGACAGCTTCCTCCATCAGGACAAACCACATTTTTAACTTTAATTGGTGACCTCAAGAATGACAGTTTCTTCATCATTGCTTTAGCAGAGCCTCCATAAAAACAAGTCCCACGAGCTACGTCACATATCTCTCCTGAGGGACAGCAATGGATTCCATCAGAGCAACAGGTAGCATCAGGATAAGAACAACAACCATATTTATAACCACTTTCTCGACAACAAGTTTCACCATCAAGACAAACTCCACCATCAGGACACTTAACTGAATCAAGTTTCAGGGTCTTCTTTACCTCATTGGTCCTAGTGCAAGTGCCATCACTTTTGCATTCAGTGCCATGAGGACAGCAGTGAACTCTATCAGCACAACAAACAGCATCTTCCCTAGGACAGCAACCATAGCTACCAGAGAGGGTCTGACAGCAAGTATTGCCATCGAGACATACTTTACCATCAGGACAATGGACTTCAGTCACGTTAGTGAAGGATATGCTAATTGCAGGTTTCTTCTTAAGTATAGCCACTTGAGACCTTATACAGTTACCGTCATTCGGACTACACATATATCCGCTAGGACAGCAGTGCTTCATATCAGCACAGCAGACAGCATTGGAAAAATGACAGCACCCGAAATCATCACTGCTCACCCGACAGCAGGTTTCACCATCAGGACATTGATTTATCCCATTGGGACAAATTATATCAGTAACGTTGGTGGGTCTAGGTCTCACGTCAATTAGAGTCGGTGCCAGTGTTGCAAGTGAGTCTTTTGGTGGAGTGCATGTATTATCGGTTAGGTCACAAGTGTATCCTGATGGACAGCATCCTCTTCCATCAGGGCAGCAAGTTGCAGGTACTATTGGACAGCAACCATATCTCCTAGTGGTTGAAATATAGCAGCACGTATGATCGGCAGGACACTGCCAGCTCTCTTTTGAACCAGGAGGAGTGCAATTCACATTAACGGCAACTTGTGATAATGTATCTGAAACTGAAAGGAGAGGAGGAGCTTGTAGCATTAAAAATAATAATAAAATTTACTTACTTTTACTTTCAAAGAAGGGTTTATTTCTGTTTCTTTGCCTTTTAAAACTCATCAAAACGGAAGGGAAGGTTGTAGTAGAGTCCGAGCAGTTCAAGGAGTCCGCGGAGCAAGGATGGCCACGAGGACAGCAGTGGCGCTTATCAGAGCAGCAGTAAGCGTCTATGTGTGGACAGCATCCCCAGAGCTCCGGGGTAAGACGGCAACACGTATTATTAGCCGGGCAGAGGTCCTCAGAATTGGGGCAGTGAACTACATCCAGTTGAGGATAAAGGTTGCTTTGTGGAAGAGAAGGACGACAGTAAACTGAAGCAAACAGCAGCAAGAGAACGAATTTCACGGCCATTTTCTGGTCAGTTGACCTAAAAAATTTGATGAGTCAATTAATTAAAATCAATTAAACAGGACGTGACATCACATTTCCTTTTTGTAAAATAATTTTTAAAATCATAATTGATATAAGTGTGTGAATGTCTCTTTATTTTAGTTCAGTTATATCTGATATATCGGAATCAAAATCATCAGCAGTTACTGTAGTAAGAGCTGAATGCGATGAAGCTACAGCAGCTAAAGATAGAGAAAGAGAGAGAGAAGGATAAATTAGAGAAATAAGGCTATTATTATACCTGTATGGTAGTCGTGTTTACTGCTCATAAGTGGAACAGACTGAGCCGAGATTGGTTTAGATGCTGAGACTGGAGGAGCAATAGGAGGTGCAGCACTAAGCTCAGAGATAGTGAAAGTATCACTATCATCATCACTTTCCTACAATGAATGGAGAGATACATTAAGTAATACATACATGTACATATACCAGTACATGTACTGCTTACCAATGGATCTAAGAGTGGTTGTGGTATCATCATTACTGGTGCTCCACTCATTGGGACTACACCATCACGAGGCTTGTTTCGATTGATTCTCTCGACAACAGTAACAGACTATCATTAACAATAATCTCATCGTTATCTCACATTAATATAATTAAACCGTTACTTTAATTGGCGTTGAAGATGCCTTTGCAAGTACGTCAGTACCAGCAATCAACTTCTCAATGCTATCATCGTCCTCATCACTAAAGAAATACAATAGTAATAACATTATTATTACAGTAGCCTAACTGCCTAAGTAATGATAACCTTTCACTATCAAAAATAGGATTAGGAGCAGTAGGACTATCAGCTACTGTAGGTAAGGTTGGTATCGGTTGTACACTGGTCGAAGCTACGGTCATTGGTACACTAGTGGCTACTGGTAAAACGGGTATTGCATTAGGAGGCAAACGGACGCTGGTCACTGGTAGATGAGTATTGGTTGAAGTGAATGGTGCACTGGTAATGGTAAATGGAGCACTGGTCGGAGCGGATGGTATATTGGTCGGAGTGAAAGGTGCACTGGAAACAGTTGGTATGCTTAACGGTAGAATGGAAGTGATGACTGGAGTAGTTTGGACATTAGTGGTAGCTCCAGTAGGTAATCCACTGGCTCCTGTTCTTTTAGGAGCTATAGATACTACTGGAGTTTCCTCTTCATCCTCATCGCTTGATCTGTCAAACAAAGTGACAATTATTATTTCAATGATACTAGCTTACTCTTCATCACTGCTGGATTCAAGGATCAGTTCAGTTGGAGATCGAGAAGATTTAGTTGGAGATCGAGGAGATTTAGCTGGAGATTGAGGAGATTTAGTTGGAGTTACGATAGGTGGAGTTATGACTAGTTTAGAGACAGGAGGTTTCTTTGGTGAAACAAGTACCGTTGGCTTGTAATGTAACTTGACTTGTTCCTCAACCTGTTTCTCTAACCTGTTTGACACCCACACATTTAATTAAAATACTCGAGATGCACTTACTCTGATCTCTGCTGTGCAAATAAAGGGTGGGTCTAATAAAGAGAGAGAGAGAGCTGTCATATTTTCTTGCAATTAGGAGAAGGTTGATTACCTGTGCCTTGGATTGCTGTTCCTGTTTTAGTAATTTTAGCTTATCGGTTAGTTTTTGTGTCGATAAACCACCTGCAGATGGCTGAAAATAACAAAATAAGAATAAAAATAATAATGAAAATAATAATAATAAAATAATTATAATTATTAACAATTAGTTAATGCTAACTTCAACTCCTCTCTTAGTCATTGCTTCATTAACAATACTATTCAATGCTGTTTTGAGCTTCAGCAAATCTTCTTGCTTCTTCTCTCTAATGTGTTCTACACCATCTTCCTCCTCCTCCTCATCATCATCAGAGGAGGCGAGAGAGGAAGGCTTGGATGAAACAATGATATGATGTTGTGTAGTACATGTAGGCTGGGCCTCTTTCATTTCAGTCAAGTGAGTACTTATCTGATCAACTTGCTGTACAGAGAAAGAGAGAGATGTAAAGTAAAGTTATGTATACGTGCATTTTACTGTTTACCTGCGCCAGATGTTTGACAGTGCTGGTATCTTTAGGTATTGCTGCTAGGCTCTGTTCTAATACTGCTATACGGCCTTGAGACTGAGCAAAAAATTAAAAAAAAAAACAACTAAAATAGTTGACATTATAATTTGTTACATGGTACATATGATAATATTGGACTGGGTGTAATAAAGTCCTTGATATTTTCAGTTGGAATGAAGACCCTGCATGGTCTCAGGCCAAGTTTCAACAAGTAAGATTTCTCCATTTTTATTGCATTTTCTGATACATGTACAACAACTTACATGTATGTTGTGTAGAAAGTTTGAGCTGATTCCGATCAAAATCAGATTTTTAAAGAAATTTTTTAAATTACTCAAAAATCAGACAAAAGTCCCTGTACTACAGTACATGGTCTCGGGCCAAATTTTGTCAAAAATGAAAAGTAGAGAATTCTCCATTTTTATAATTTCTTCTGATACATATGCACATTCTTATGTTCTGTAGCAAGTTTGAACTGATGCCGGTCAAAATTGAATTTTTTTACAAAGTTTAAACTTTGCTGGCCAAAAATAAGTTGCATCGATGGCAATCACTTACTTCTCTCAATTCTTCTTCGTATTTTCTGGTTCTCTCCATGAGATCGTCTTCATATTTCTTTGCTGTCTCTTTCAACTTTTTTTTCCAAATCTTTCTCTCATCTTTAACCGATTGCTGCAACTAATAATAAAGCAATTGTACATTGTATAAAATCCGGTGTATGTGTGTATGTGTGTGTGTGTGTGTGTGTGTGTGTGTGTGTACTTGTGTATGGAATTTGTCCTGTAGATCAACCAATTGAGTACTATCATTATTACACGTAGCCTGTCAATGAATCATTTATTATATTATTATTATCTATTATTATGGTATTACTTGAGGTATCATCTCCATTGATTGATCTCTGCTTGTTCTCAATGCCTTTAATTCTTCTTTAATAAAAAATAAATAAGTGATTAAGACCTCATTTACACGACGACGCTGGCCTAATCTGCCAGCAATAAAAATTGGGGGTAATTTTTGAGCCGTTTTTCAGGAAAAACCATCGACTATAGTACAGGGATTTTAAAAAAATAGCCCATTTTTAAAAATGGTTATAACTTGAAAAATTTAAGTCGGAATCCACTCAAACTTTCTAGATAGCATAAGTACATCAATATGTATCAAAAAATGTAATAAAAATCGGGGGTGATTTTTGAGCCATTTTTCAGAAAAAACCATGGACTATAGTACAGGGGTTTTTCTCAAAAATTGGCCAATTTAAAAAAATGGTCATAACTAAAAAAAATTAAGTCGGAATCCGCTTTAACTTTCTACATAACATAAGTACATCAATATGTATCAAAAAATGTGATAAAAATTGGGGGTGATTTTTGAGCCATTTTTCGGAAAAAACCATGGGCTATAGTACAGGGATTTTTCTCAAAAATTGGCCCATTTAAAAAAAATGGTCATAACTCAAAAAATTTAAGTCGGAATCTGCACAAACTTTCTACATAACATAAGTACATCAATATGTATCAAAAAATGTGATAAAAAATTGGGGGTGATTTTTGAGCCATTTTTCGGAAAAAAACCATGGACTATAGTACAGGGGTTTTTCTCAAAAATTGGCCCATTTTTAAAAATGGCCATAACTTGAAAAATTTAAGTCGAAATTCGCTCAAACTTTCTACATAACATAATTACATCAATATGTATCAAAAAATGTAATAAAAATTGGGGGTGATTTTTGAGCCATTTTTCGGAAAAAAACCATGGGCTATAGTACAGGGATTTTTCTCAAAAATTGGCCCATTAAAAAAAATGGTCATAACTCAAAAAATTTAAGTCGGAATCTGCTCAAACTTTCTACATAACATAAGTACATCAATATGTATCAAAAAATGTGATAAAAATTGGGGGTGATTTTTGAGCCGTTTTTTGAAAAAACCATGGACTATAGTACAGGGGTTTTTCTCAAAAATTGGCCCATTTTAAAAAATGGCCATAACTTGAAAAATTTAAGTCGAAATTCGCTCAAACTTTCTACATAGCATAAGTACATCAATATGTATCAAAAAATGTCATAAAAATTGGGGGTGATTTTTGAGCCGTTTTTCGGAAAAAACCATGGGCTATAGTACAGGGATTTTTCTCAAAAATTGGCCCATTAAAAAAACGATAAACGAGACCCTTATCCGATCAAAAATATATCCGTTTTACTTTAAAACGTAGTCGTGTAAACCAGGCCTAAATAAATAATAATAAATAATGCCTACCTTGTGCCTGCTCTAAAGTCTGTAAAGGAGGTACAACAATGTGACATTATAACAGTATAACCATTACTGATTGTATTACCTTCTGTAATAGCTCGGTTGTGTGTTGATTCTGCTGCTGCAACTGTGTAGTTAGAGTGGCCTTGTGCACCGCAAGCTCCTCCTAATGCAATACATGTACATGTATATGCAATCAGTAGTACATTGTTACTTTCAGTCTTTGCTGCTCTTGGGTCTTCCACATCTCAAATTCCTTTACTTTCTCTTCGTGAAGCTTGCTCTCCTAAAATGAAGAAGAGAGAAGGAGAGGGGGAGGTAATAGCCAGAGCACTTGGTCTTTATTCTCACTTTCAATAGCATTTCTTGCTTCATTTCATTCTGCGACTGAAGTAGCTGCTGCTGGACTTTCTCGAATACTTTAGTCTCCAGCTCTTTCTCCATCTCTTTCAGGACCTCCGCATCATCTCTGTTACAAATAAGAGGGAGAGAAAGAGAGAGAGAGAGAGAGAGAGAGAGAGAGAGAGAGAGAGAGTGGATCAAGTTATGATCATAAATAGACAGCATTACTTTGGTTTTGCAGTATGTCTCCTCTCAATATGTCCCTTCAAAAACTCAGCACTGATAAACTCACGGCGACAGACGTGACACTAAAAATAGAACATTACCATGGCAATCTGCCCCCGCTACTAATTACCGGGTAAAGGCCGCTAGCCCCAGCGTTCATCATTTGCTGGTAAGACTCTATCATTTTACGTCTCTTGCGATTTTCTCTCTTTACGGTCTTTAAATTTTTTGATTGCGTTGTGACTTCGATGCGTGTTGATTGTAATTCCTAGTAATAATAAATAATACAATAATATTATTATGGTAATTATGTACTTGTCCTGTAATGTGAAGCTGTTCTTGTAATACTTGTAACTGATCAGTTAAATACTGCTGAGTGTGCTAGATATAATGAAGTATAATAATAATAATAATAATAATAATAATAATAATAATAAATAGCACCTATTTTTACCATAATTATTTGCTAATTTATGGGTTTATTAAAATCTAATAATTAATAACATACCAAGAGATATTCAATTATCAACTGAGCAAGACGAAATAGCTTGATAAAATTGATATCAACATTACGAAACTCCTAAAAACAATCGTAATACACTGCATTATAATATTTCCCTCCATCGAACCTCATTTTCAACATTGCAGAATGTGACGTGCAGTATATTATTCTGCAAAGTTTGGACATCAACAGTTTGTGCAATTTTATCCACGTCAACACCAGCTAATAATAATTAGTAATAATAATAATTAATAGTAATACAGCAATAAAATCAACGAAAATAAAATTTTCCTTACACAAAGCACGCCAATCTACGTTGGCCCATCTTCTTCTAAAGGTAAAAGTACCTCTGACAGCTGGCTCCTCTTCCACTGGTAAGAAACTAGTCATCATTAATCTGCTCTTGTTTTCTGTTTATCTCCTCCCCTGCATTTTAAAATTACAATCAACCCAAGGGCGTGGCTAATAACACAAGTGCAGTGGGTGGGACAAGATCACGTGAGCATTTATAACTACCCACGTGGTGTCATGGCGTTTGTTCCTGCTGGCTGTGAGGCTTTCACTGATGATGATCAATTCGATGGATTTGACTTTGGTGATGAGCAAGGATATAATTATCATGAAAAGGATCCTTCAAAAGTACAAATGAATCTATTAGACCTTAGTATTTCTTGAGTAGGTAGCTCTAGAGTCTCCTCCAAAGGCTAACAACCGAGCTAACAGCACCAGTATTGTTGATAGTCCTTCTATAACCAGTGTTCCTTCTACTAGTGTTGAAGAGTTGTTGGTCTGCAATCCCAGTGAGTAAACCCAATGATGATTCTTAGTTTGATTTGAAGCTTTTGCAGCTGAAGAAAGAATGAGGCTTGCTATTGTCAGTGGGACCAGATCATCAGTAGAGGAAATTCTTGATACTGGTAATATATATTATACTTGCTCACACTTTGCATAGGCAAGGACTAGATATTACTGTTGTCTGTCTGTCTTTCATTACATTAAGAAATAAATTCTATTTTTTCTTAATTATGCATGCATGGGCTTGTTTATAATCATTATACATGTACATGTATTAGGTTTTGATCCTAATTCAGTTTTAAGTGGAGGATGGACGGCACTCTTATACTCATGTGATCATGGTCATTATGATATCATCAAACTATTACTGGAGAAAGGAGCAAATCCTAATGCACATAAAGGTACTGAGTTATTTTTTAAATAATGGAAACCTTTATTTTTAATTATTATTACTAGATATGTTTTCTTGTCTTATGGCATTATGTTGTTCCAAGAATTCTAACCAAGACCAGCTCTCAATGTGTGCAAAATTGCTCATTGATAAAGGTGCTAGGATTAATACCCATGACAGGTATAGGCCACATAATAAGTGCATTCATATACTTATAAATTACTAGACATCGTATGACTCCATTAATACATGCTTGTCAATCTGGCCATTACGGTATTGTTAGTGTTCTCCTATCTTATAATGCTGATGTCAATAGGCAGGACTTGTGGGGCTGGACAGTAAGAATATTCTTTATATTTATCAAATCTTATATTTTTTCCGTAGCCTCTATGTTATGCTGCTTCACAAGACAGTGTTCCACTAGTTACTCTTCTTTTAGAAAATGGTGCCGATTCCAAATTATCAACCCATCTTGGTGACACACCTGTTACTATAGCACTATCTAAAGGCTTCACTACTATTGTTAGTGCTATTGAAGGTGGAAAAACTCAGCATCATCATAGTAAGAGACCCTGCATTATG